GCGTCGACAGAAGCCACGAGCCGACGGCAGCTGGGTCTATGGTAGGCGGGAGCAATGCATGCAAACGAGCTTGATACTATGTAGCCTCAGCATGTCTAGTGGCAACTAGCAGTGGCGGTTGTATCGTGGGTGTTGTGGTGATGAAAGGTGTTGCAAAGAAGTCGAAGCGCGTCCCTGCACTCTGCAAGACCTCGTCCTCCGCTTGCGCTCTACCTCCAACATGGGAGCTCAAGGCGCTCACGGTGGGGGTGGATCGGCTCTGACAAGTACGAAAGGATTACAATAAACTTCATCGCTTGCGACGCAGGCTTCGCATTACGTGGCAGCATGATAGTCCGACAGCAAGAAAAGCGCAAGGTGGCTTTCCCATGCAACTCGTACTATTTAGCCCGAGCTGCAATAGCCCAGAGAATCTAGTACATCATTTGCCCTGTGCGCCAGGCCGTGCCCCAAGAGCTCGCACATCATCGTTGCGCCCCGTTGTGTTGTATTCGGCACGTGTGCCGAATATAATAATTCTTTGGTGTCGGCATCTGCCGAATACAAACAACAAGCTGCGATGGCAGCAGCGACCAAGGACGTGGACCGGAAGATGACCGACCATGACTACCTCCTCATGGAGCGGGAGCTCTATGAAGAGAGCATACGTGCACTGGAGGTGCGACTCGCCCAGCTCGAAGACGGTACGCTGCCAGAGTACGTGGAGCAGGTGCAGGCATTTGCGGCGGAGAAGCAGTCGCGCCTCGACCTTGCACGGCTCCGGCGCGATCTCCTCGAGAAGAACAGCGCTGAGCTGCTCGCGTTCGACCTGCAGCAGCTGGATGAAGTCTACGCCCAGGCCATGGAGCGTGCGCTGCGCACGCCGCCGCCATCCCACGACGAGCTGGACACATGTGCCATCGACAACACGGCGCTGCCTCTGCCTATCGGAAAGACTTTGTCAAATAGCGAGCTCGAAGCGGCCTTGGATCGTACCCTCGACGAGAAGCGCCGGCTCTTCAACCTCGAGCATATTGCCGCGGTCCAGCCCAGCACGTCCACGATCGTCGCCCAGCTCCAAACCACGCGCGATGCATGGCAGGCCGCTCAGGTCGCGATGGACGCATCTTCGCGTACGTACTGCGCATTCCATGCATGCGATGGCTCATGCTAGCGTAGCCGAAGAATGCTTTTGGGATGCGATGCACAAGACGTTGCACATCTGCGAGCAGCCATATCGCGTCGGCGACGCTATCGTGCTCCACTCAGCGCTGGCCAACGTAGGCGATAGTCGTCTGTACAAGTCTTATGCTAGTGCGACTAGGAAGATTTTTACGGTGAAATTGCGTCCGCGAATGAGACCGCGGTACGCGACCCCTCTCCATCTCGAGCACGCGGCGACAGTGTACGTCTGTAGGTGCAGCTCAAGCTGCTGTGTGACTCGGTCGTCACTGTACCACTGGCCTCCCTGCGAGACCGTCGGTGTCGGCTGCAGCGGCAAGACGATGGACGATCGTCCGACGCACCATTTTCGCCGGCCCCGACCACACCGCTTCGCCGCGCCTCGACACCGCGCTCGCGCCGCAAGTCCCGATCGCGGCGAGTTCTCTCGCTGCTGTAGAAAGAGCCTTATGGACACTCTGTACATTGTATACGTATGGACCGAATCATTGGCCAATGTACACGCGTGTACGACGCTGTCTCGCTCCCACCAGTATCAACGAGATGGGCCCGGGGTTTCATGCCACAGCAAACATCGATATCGGTCCCGTGAGGACCGTAGGGAATGATATGTACACAAATGTCCTATTTAGATAGACCACAATTATCCTATTTTAGATTGACCATCCTGCACGAGCGGGCCCGGTATAAGAACTCTTGTGCTTAGAGCCTTCACGAAAGGTCGTCGGCATTTGGGACGACCCGACGGACAGAGATTGTTGAGAGCATTCTGGCGCAATGCGAGGCGTCGTCGAACGCGCTGTGAAGATAGTCGGATCCAGTTTTTCACATCAGATGACCCATCCCAAAGCCATCATGTCGTCGGGCCGTGGTGGAGTCGCCCGGTTCACTCCTCATTCAGTGCTTATTGTTAGCCGGGAATATGGCGTACTCGAATATGGAGGCGCTTGGTACCAAGCGTCACCCAACCGCGATGATGGAACCGCCGTGTGGTGGTTTTGCCTGTCATTCAGAAAACATTCCTGGCACATTCTTGCTGCTCGGCCGCACCACAACCGTGAGCGGCAGTGTGCATTTGGCTGCCTCCTCCATGTATTCCATCTCGTATGTCTCGGGAACGCAGCTCGTGACGAGCCTGAGCGAAGTCGACGACTTTTGCGCCGAGAAGCAGGCCCCACGCCGCTGGCTGTCCAAGCGCCTCCTTGGCCTCGTCACCGCGCTCGTTCTAGTCGCCATCATTGTTGGCGTCGTCACTACATGTTCCGCCACGCAGGACGTGACCAACGCCACCGAGCTCCGCTTGGGCGCGACGGCCCTTGACATGGCGATTGGCTACGATACGTACCAAGCCGACCAGATTGACGCGCATTTTGCGAAGATCGCGACGCGCTTCTCGGGCGTCCGGTCGTTCCAGACGTGGCTGCCCAACAACGACAACGTCATTGCCGCCGCTGCGCGCCACGACCTCGTTGTCTACGCTGGCATTTGGCTGCGCGGAGGAGGCGTCTACGCCCGCGACGTCCAAGCCGCGATCGACGGCGCGTGGCGACACCCGGGTACGGTCAAAGCGGTCTTTGTTGGCAACGAAGAACTTTCTAACGGCTGGAGCCCCGACCAGCTCATTCGCACAATCAACGACGTGCGCGCCAAGTTCAACGCGGCGGGGCTCGGCCACATTCGACTTGGGACGGTGCAGATCGACGGTGACCTCTTGAAGTACCCGCAGGTGGCCGACGTCTGCGACATCGTAGGTGCCAACATGCACGCCTTCTTTTCGAGCGCACCGTACTCGAATACCGACCCAATGCGCGACACCCGAGCGCGCTGGGACGCCATTGTCGCTAAATTCGGCACCAAGGCCATCATTACCGAGGTTGGGTGGCCCTTCGCGGGTGGCAGCTACGGCTCGCACGTGGCATCGTACGAGATGGGCGTCTCGTACTTTAACGCGTTTAGCGACTGGGTGCGCCAAGGCAATGGCGGGCCACTCCCTGCGTACTTTATGTTTCACAACAACCCGTCCAAAATTGGGTTCGAAGCCCACTTTGGCCTCGCTGATGCCAACGCCAACTGGATGTTTGCACTTGATGCTACATCGCCCTTGAACCCCCCCCGTGTCAAGTACGAGTCCGGACGACATCCAGTTTTTGCTACAAACCGCGACGGGCACAGTCATCTACGAGATGCACAAGAGCCTCTTTGCGTACGTCGAGTCGCCGTGCGCCAACGAACGCTGGCGCTTCAACCGCACAACGAACCAGATCGTCTCCATCTCGAGCGGGCAGTGTCTGGACGCGTACTTTGCCAACGCCAGATTCTACGTGCACGTCTGGCCCTGCGACGCCTCGAACCAAAATCAACTGTGGACCATCGATGCAACGAGCAACACCATCAAGCACCGTGTTCACAACAATCTCTGTCTCGACGTCGACCCGACCAAAGCCGACGCGTCCGTGCAGGTGTGGAGCTGCCACGGCGGAAGCAACCAGCAGATCCGCGTGGTCCTCGACCTCCCGCACCTCGGACTGCAATCGCAACAAACAAAGTCGGTGCTCGTCGGCAGCAACGACCGCATCGCGTTTCGAAATGCCAACCGCGATGCCAGCGCCGCGTGGACCTTTCTTCAGAGCAAACACATGCTCTTGCACGAGGCGAGCGGTATGTGCCTCGACGGCTACGAGTTCAAGAACGGCGGCGCGGTGCATCTCTGGCGCTGCGACGCGACCAACGGCAATCAAAAATGGATCTACGACAGCAATACGCTTCAGCTGCGCCATGGAACGCGCCCCGAATTTTGCCTCGACGTTGGCGTGGGTGCGTCCCCCTACCTCTATGCGTGTCATGGCAAGAACGACCCATACATCTCGTTCCAGCAGTTTGCGCTCGTGCCGTAGTGCGTACTAGTAGTCCGTGCAAGTTTAATGTTTTGTGCATAATTACACGTGCTAAGTAGAAATACAAACAAGTACACTAGCTCATAGTAGATCAGTCGAAGAAGTTGTCTTCCGATTTGGCGAGCATAAATGTACAAAATCGTGGCAGCAACTCTTACTATGGTCTCATCAGACTGCGTCAATGAACTCCGACACGTGCCAATGACCAGTAATCAGTATTTTTCGCCAATGGCACATCAATGGGATTGTACAAGATCCGCTCGATGACAAAGCTGGGTTTATTCAACGATCGATAAATGGAAATTTCTTGTTTGCAAAAAGCCAAAAACAACTGTAAAGTCCAAAACGAATGCCTTCGACTACATGACAAATGTAAACTGCTGGTACGAAAGGAACGGGTCGTTCTCGCCATGGCACGTGTAGAGCGTGGGCGACGCACCGACGCTGACCGAGCCAATGTCGAGGCAGAACTCGCGGTGCGCACCGTGGTGGAGCTGGTGCGACGCCTTGTCGTAGATCCATTTCTGGTTGGCGTTGGTCTCGTCGCAGCGCCAGAGATGCACCGCGCCGCCGTTCTTGAACTCGTAGCCGTCGAGGCACTTGCCGCTCGCCTCGTGCAAGAGCATGTTTTTGCTTTGAACAAACGTCCACGCGGCGCTGACGTCGCCTTTGACGTTGGCGAACGAACCGTTGAGCGGCCGGAACGACACCTTGTCGTTCTCGCTCACGAGCACGTTGTTGGTCTGCCGCGACGCGACGCCGAGGTGCGGCAAGTCCGGGTTGAGACGGATCTGCTGGTTGGTGCCGCCAGTGCAGGCCCAGACTTGGACGGACGCGTCGGCCTTGGTCGGGTCGACGTCCAGACAGAGATTGTCGTGCTTGAGGTGGACGACGCGGTTCGACTTGATGTCGATGGTCCACTTTTGGTTGCCATTCGTCGCGTCGCAGGGCCAAACATGCACGTTGTACTTGGAGTTGGCATAGTAGGCGTCAAGACAGTGGCCGCTCGACGTTGAAAAGATCTGGTTGGTGCCGAGGTCGTAAGTCCAGCGCTCGTTGGCGCACGTCGCCTCGTCGTAGGCAAAGACGTTTTTGTTCATTTCGTAAATGACCTTGCCCGTCGACGTCTGCAGCAAGAACGGCAACTCGTAGGGCGAATTTGGCACGACCACTGGCTGGTTGGGGCTCGGGATGATGGGCCGGACGGGCGCAAACTCGAATTTCCACTTGCCAGTCTCGTCCGCGAGGCCAAAGTTGGCTTCGTACCCGCCTTTTGCCGGATTGTTGTGGAACACAAAGTACGCAGGCAGCGACCCGCCGTTGGTGCCTTTGCTCGCCCAGTCCCGGAACGCGTTGAAGTAGTAGACACCCATGTCGTACGAAGCTACGTGCTGGCCATAGTTGCCGCCCGCAAAGGGCCAGCCCGTCTCGGTGATGACGGCCTTGCTGCCAAACTTGGCGTAGATCGCCTGCCAGCGCACGTCCGTGTCGCGCATCGGGTCCGTGTACGAGTACGACGCCCCCGAGAAGAACGCGTACATGTTGACACCGACGACGTCGCACACGTCGGCGACCTCGGGGTGCGCGAGGAGCGCGCCGTCAATCTGCACCGTCCCGATCGCAATGTCTCTGAGGCCCGCGGCGCTAAACTGGGTGCGGACGTCCTTGATCTTCGCGATGAGGTCGCTTACGCTCCAGCCGTTGGAGAGGTCTTCGTTGCCGACAAGGACGGCCTTGACCGTGCCCGGGTGTCGCCGCGCGCCGTCGATCGCGGCTTGGACGTCGCGGGCGTAGTCGGCCCCGCGCAGCCAAATGCCGGGGTAGACAAAGAGGTTGTGACGTGCGGCGGCGTCAATGACGTTGTCGTTGTTGGGCAGCCACGTCTGGAACGACCGAATGGCCGAGAAGCGCGTCGCGATCGTTGTGAAGTGTGCGTCGATCTGGTCGGCTTGGTACGTGTCGTAGCAAATAGCCATGCCGAGGTTCGTCGCGCTCGTGCTGACCTTGTTGGCCGCGTCCTCGGACGAGGACGTCGAGGCGGCGACGATGCCAACCACTGCGCCGACAAGGACAAGCGCGCCGACGAGGCCGATGATGCGCTTCGAATGCCAGCGGCGGGGCGACTGCTTCTCGACGCGGAACTCGTCGACCTCGCTCATGCTCGTCACGAGCTGCGAGTCCATTTCAGTTTGCACTTTGTGAAATGGGGCGAATGACCGGCAGTGAGATCTATTGCCAGCTGTTTCGATGGAACGCGCATCACCCGCTTGGTCAAGAAGGGCCAACAAATGGCTCCCCGGTGGTCGGTGCTAGCACTTCTAGAGCTGGGAAATGAGCTATCGACATACTTGCCAGTCGTAGTGTCGACGAGTGAGTGCTCGGAAGAGTGACAGAAAGATGCTTCATGGAGCGAATAGGACAGGATGCATAATTTTGTAGGGCCCTGGACCGGGTCGGGGCCCCACCTGATTCGGTGTGGCGACGGTGATGGGCATGTTCGATGGCTGCTACCACTCGCATCGATCACCATCGCAGGACCTCTTTTGGTTTCCACCCATGTCAACTCGCTCATCTTAAGGGCTTCTTGATGCGTGCACCTGTGCGCTATGGTTACGCGTGTGTGTCTTGCTTGTCGCGGCATTCTTGTATCCAAGAGTGCGGCGATGAAGGCGGCGATGCAGAGATGTGACCATGCGCACTGGAGAAGAGATGTTGGCTGCTTGACCGCCTCGCTCGATTCTGGATTCCAGATTCTGGATATTTATCGCAAAAGTAGGAAGCATACCGTCACCCAAGCATCCTCTTGTCAATGACGACAGAGGTGGCCATCATCTCCACTACAGTACCTGGTACAAGTATGCATCCGTGAGCGCATCAAGTGGGGTCAATGTGAATAGCGTTCTTGCTGGTTAGTACGCACTAGGTGGGGTTTCGACCCACTTCAACAACAACAACGGACTTGGATTGCTATTTTGGAGTCCTCTCTCGTCACAAGTGCAGCTCGGCAGCAAGCGCGAACGACTACTTGCCGCGACTGTCGCAAGCCGTACAACTTGCACATCGAACGCCACCCACGACACTGCTACGTCCCCGATGCTGGTCTTTGCCAACCGTTGCGCCTTTAATGGTGTCGACTGACTATCAATACCTTCCGACGTACTAGTGCTCAGTGAGCCAAATCATAATGATAAAAGTTTGAGGGTACCTCCTAGGGAAATGGCACCATTCTAGACGATTAACGAGGAATGCTGGAGCCGATGAGGAGGATCCATGTTTTACTGACTAACTCTGCAGCCGAATACGCTGTCGTGCAAGGCAACCGACCAGCAACAATAATGAAGCCTCCAGCAAAGACATGAATGAGCAAACGAGATTGGCTTTGGTAGCACTTCTACGTCTACGAAATAATATCACTCGAACATACTATGTCATAAAATAGGTTTGTGAAATTGATTCATTGGTCGAATTTCAATCAGTTTCAACCAATACCAGGCGACGGCACATGCGGCACCACGCCCGCGGGGCTGCCCGTCGACCAAATCGCTTGAAAAAATGAAATCGCTCACACTTGGCACATAGATAGAGGACATTCCGGAGAGCCCACAACGCGCCGTCCCATCGTCGTTGGATACCTACAGCTAGAGTTAGGCGCCCTTGAGTTTTTAGCTTTGGCAAACGCCATATATAACCACCAATTGCCACATTCAAAAACATCTTCGCCGTCCTCTGGCGGTGACGTGTGAACTCAAGAGCGCCTCGGACTCGTTTCGATTCATATTTGCAAAGATATGTATATTGTGTTATGCCCTAATATGCACTCCATTCTTACATGATGGCGCACTTGTCCTTCTTCTTGGGCTTGGCCTCGTCACTGCCGGTCGGCTGGCCCGAGAAGCTCGGGCGCGGCTTGGAGATGGAGCTGGCGCGGGCCTTGGTTGTTGGCAGCGTCACGTACAGCGGCAGCGTCAGCGGCGCCTGCACGTAGCTCTCGAGACCTTCACCGTCATAGGACACGAGCGGGTCAATCTCACAGAGGCCATCCGCGTTGGTAAATGAGCCGCCGGCCGCCACCACCCACGCCTTGCTTCTTTCCGAGATCATGGTCCGCGCCGTGTCGGGCGAGTCGACGGCCGCGCCCGGCGCGTTCTTGACGGGCGCAAATTCGGTCTCGCGTGTCGCCGCCAGGATCTGCATCTTGGTCGCGAGGCCAAACACGTCGAAAATGAACGCTTCGAGCTTGATGCCCGTGTTGGTCGACGGCTTGTCGACGACACGCCCGGTCGCCAAGTCGACGTGCGGGATCTTCTTGTGCGCCACGTGGTACGTGTTCATGTGCTCGCCGCTGCAGCAGCGCTGGAGAAACTCCCTACATCATCTGCATGAGCCGTCCTGTCGTGCTTGGATAAGGATAGCGACATGGAGTAAAAGTGGTTGCAAATGTTGGCCGCGCCGTAGAGAAGCTGGCCACTCGCCGCATCGCGGAGCTCGCTCGTCGCCTTGTCCATCTCGCTGTACTCGACGACGCAGTAGCGGCCGCCGCGCTTGGCGACGACGCCAACGCTCTCGTCCGGGCGCGCCTTCCAGACGACCTTGTTGCCGCAGTCGGCTTCCTTCGCAATGCAGTAGCCCATGAACGTCGGGTCCGCGACCTTGCAGAGCGCATTGTCGACGGAAAAGACGTGGAGGAACTGCACGCCGCGCGCTTGCAAGTCGTTGATCGCGCCGCTGAGCTGCAGCGCGCGGTAGACGCCGCCGTTGCCGTCCGGCGCGCGGGCCAACGCGCCGTGACTCGCAAGCATGAGCTGACCACTGTTTGTCAAGCACGGCAGAGTGCCTTGCGGGCAAAACACGACCTGACTCGGCGACAAGCCAAAGTACAACTGCTGCTCAAAGTAGGTGACCGTCGCTTCGTGGTTGAGGCCGCTCGTGAGCACGTAGAACGGTATGCGGCCGTTCGTGAGCAGCTCCAGCTTGCGCAGCCGCTTGGCAAAGAGCGCAAAGAGCGACGTGTGCGACGGCAAACCAATGTCGTACAAGCCCTTCGGCCCGTCAAAGCCAAGCCGCGTGCCCTGGCCGCCGGCGAGGACGAGCGCTGCGACCTGCCCCTTCCGGATCGCGTCCAAGCCCGTCTCGCGCCATGCAGCCTTGTCGCTCGAGCTCTCGAGCACGTCGACCTCGGTGGTCAATGGCTCTAGAACGCCGACGTCCGTGGCGGCGGGTGCCATGCTAGCCTCAAAGCTCCGCGAGAGGTGCTCGAAATCGATCGACGCAAGGTCCTGGAGCAAGAGCGCGGCGTCGTAGCGCGAGATCGTCCCATTGTCGATGAACCGAAGCACGTGTGCTTGGTTGAACTCGTGGAGAGTATGCCGCAGCGCAGTGGGCACGCAGTGGGCACTGGCGGCGACGTCCTTAGTGTCGAGCGTCAAGACGGTGGTCGTCGGCGTGAGTGCGTCGACGTACGCCTCGAGATTTTCGCCCGCAAACGAGACAAGCGGCGAGATCTCGACAAAGGCCAGCGACAACAGCATCTCGGGGCGGCGCACGAGCGGCGTGAGCCAACGCTTGGCTTGGTCGCAGAGCATCGCGCGCGCCGAGTCGGGCGAGTCGACGGGGTTGCCGGGTGCGTTCTTGACTGGCGCAAACTCGTCGTCGCGCGGCGCCGAGAGCACGGCCATGCGCTTCGAGAGCGGGAAGACGTCAAAGATAAACGACTCAAGCTTGACGCCCGAGTTGGTACTCGGCGTCACGGTCGCGCCCGTCTCGTCGGCCATCGGGATCTTCTTGTGTGCCACGTGGTACTGCAGACTCATGTTGGGCAGGACAACGTCCCGAAGGAACGCTCTACAGCAGGAGACACATGAGGCGACCACCGTGCCGATCCAAGTCTGTACAAGGTGTAAAAATGGTTGCAAATGTTGGCTGCCCCAAACAAGAGCTCTTTGGTCTTCGGATCGCGGAGCTCGCTCGTCGCCGTGTCCATCTCGCTGTACTCGACGACGCAGTAGTGACCGCTGCGCTTGGCGACGATACCGACGCTCTCGTCCGGACGCGCCTTCCAGACGACCTTATTGCCGCAGTCGGCTTCCTTCTCGATGCAGTAGCCCATGAAGAGCGGATCGGCGACCTTGCACATGGCGTTGTCGACCGAGAAGACATGCACGTACTGCACGCCGCTCTCTTCCATACGACGGAGCGCACCTGACTTGGCGAGCGCCGTGTAGATGCCGCCATTGCCATCCGAGGCGGTCGCGAGCTTGCCCGCGCTTTCGAGCATGAGCTTGCCGTCGGTGGTGAAGCACGGAAGCGTGCCTTGCGGGAAAAAGAAAACCTGGGCCGGGTCCAGGCCAAAGTAGCTGTGCTGCTTGAAGAAGACGACGGTCGTGTCGTGGTTCATGGCCGACGTCATGACGTAGAACGGCAGCCGAATCGCTTGCGTCGCGTCGGGAACCGCTTGCGCCGCGAGCGCTTGCAGGCGGACGATGCGCTCGGCAAAGAGCTGGAAGAGCGACTTGCCGGACGGAAGGCCGATGTTGTACATGCCTTTCGGGCCCGAGAAGCCGAGCCGCGTGCCCTGGCCGCCGCTCAGCACAAGCGCAGCCACTTGGTTGTGCGCGATCGCAGAGATACCGGTCGCGGCCCACTGTTCGAGGAGCTCGTCCGGCGTCGACGTGACGGCGTCGGCCGTGTCGAGCGGCTCGAGCACGCCCGTCGGCGCATGGTTGTTGGTCATCGACGTCTTGAAGATTGACGCGAGGTGGTCAAAGTCGAGAAACTCGAGCTACCATCGATATGAGAGAGACGCAGACATAAGAGAGGATCGTACATCGTGGTTGAGCTGGTCGATTTCCTTGTGCGAGAGCAGATTGTTACGGTAAAACTACGCATACGATCTCACATATCCCACAAGCGCATGTCGCGTACCTTGAGCACTTGGTCCTGCTTGGCTTCCTCGAGGCGGCGAATGAGGTCGTCCGGCAGTTTGGGCGGCGTCAGACGCAGCGCGACGCTCACGTGCGCACTCGAGAGCAGCGCGGGACTCGCGTCCAGGAAAAAATCGAACGGCTTTTCCGTCACGAGCTTCGACGGGAAGTGCAGCGTGTCGCTGGCAATGGCGTCAATGACGTCCACCAGCTGCGTGGACGTGAACGTCGGCGGCAGGGCCAGCGCCGTCGCCACGCACTTGGCGACATCGAGGACCACGTTGGGTGTGCTACCGGCGTTGGCTTTGGCGCACGCCGCATTCACCTCGGTCATCGACTTGAAGACGGCGAGGTCCAGGCCCGTAAATTTCTCTGGGTACGCCGACACGACACCGATCCAGTCGGCGCCCCGGGCCGACGCAAGCTGCGCCACAATGTACCTAGTGAAAATAAAGTAAATTCGGGCAAGCGCGAGAAGACGAGGATCGAGATACCCAATGTCGCCGTGGTTGGCGACGATAGCAACGCGGTCGCTGGGCTGGACCGCCGTCGCGAACGCCGTCGCGAGCAAGGCCGTCGACGGCACGTGACTGGCGAGGTCTAACGGCATGCTCAGCGGCACGGACGCAATGCAGTCGGTGGCAGCGTTGAGCTTGGCAAACTCGCAAAAGACACCACCCGTCGGCACGTAGGCGCAGACGCGGTCGCCCACGCGCACGGACGTGACGTTGGACCCGACGGCTTGGACCACACCGGCGAGCGAGTAGCCCGGCATGTACTTGGCGTCCGAGCTTTGAGCAATGCGGTCGACATCGAGCGGCGATATCGCCACAAACTTGGTATCGATCAGGACGTCGTCGGCCTCGGCAATCTCGGGCATCGGCTCGTATACGATCGCAATCTTGTTGGCCGGCTTGACGACCATCGTCTTCATGGACGACGTCGAGACGTACTCGTCGACCGACATGGCGCGCTGGCTGAGACGGCGGTTGTTGACCTCCGACAGGTAGAACGGCAGCGTGCACGGGCGCTTGGCGAGATGCGACAGGTCTTCGCCCTCGTACGAGACGAGCGGCGAGACCTCGCAGAGCCGCGTGTTGGCAACGTCCGGACGCAGCGCTTCTTGGACAAGCGCGATCCAGTGCGCTTGCGCGTCGGCCGAATCGCACTTGAGCTTGAGCCGCTTGCCATTCCCGAGCTGGCACACAAAGCTGTCGACGTCCTTTGCGTACGGCTGGCACGAAACCACGCTCGACGTTTTGGCTTTGCCCGGCTTCTCAGCCTTGTACGTGCGCACCGTGTTGGTGGCGGCGTTGAACTCCAACACGCGCGGCGTCCAGCGCTTCATGCGCTGACCGCGCTTGAGGACCGAGCCCTTCGTGATGAGGTGCAACGAGAAATCACCGCCTTGGGCCTCGACCCACCGCTTGGCTTGCGCCGAGAGAAGAAACTTCGCCGACTCGGGCGAGTCGGCCGTGTAGCCCGAGAGCTGCGATCCATTGGCGTTCTTGACGGGCGCAAACTCGTCTTCGCGCGCGACTTCGAGGACCGCCATGGACGACGCGTACTCAAAAATGTCGAAAATGAACGCTTCGAGCTTCATTCCCGGCAGCGTCTTCTTGTCGCGTGCGTCGAGCGCGACCGCCGGGATGTTCTTCATCGCAATGTGGAACGGCAAGTCCACGGTCGTGAGCACGCGGTGCAAAAACGGCCTAATATCAATCTATCAATCCACCAAGTCCATCGCATAGCACGTACACGCTAAAGTAGTGGTTGCAAATGTTGCCGGCGCCAAACGCGAGCTTGCCCGAGACGTCGTCGACGAGCACGGCGTTGGCGGCATCGAGCTCGCTGTACTCGACAACGCAGTACTTGTCGTTCTTCTTGGCGACGACGCCAACCTTCTCGTCCGGCGCGGTCTTCCACACCACCTTGTTGCCGACATCCGTCTTCTTGGTCGAGCAATAGCCAATGAAAACCGGGTCCGCGACCTTGGTGAGCGCATTGTCGACCGAGAAAACGTGCAGATGCTTGAGCCCGCGGTCCAGCATGTTTTGGAGCACGCCGTGCTTGCGCATCGCGACAAAGACGCCGCCGTTGCCGTCCGACGCGCGCGCGACTTTGGTCGGCGTCTCGAGCATGATGTGGCCCGTCTTGGTGAGACACGGCAGCGTACCTTGGGGAAAGAAGATGACTTGGCTCGGAACCAAGCCAAAGTAGGTGTTGGTCTCGAAAAAGAGAGTCGTCGCCGCGTGGTTCATCTCGCTCGTCATGACATAGAGCGGAATCGTTGGCTCGTTCGGAAGGTGGCCAAACTGCTTGGCGTTCGATTGGAGCTTGAGAAGGCGCTCGCAAAAGAGCTGAAACAGCGACTTTTTCGAGAGGAGACCAATGTCAAACATGCCCTTCGGGCCGTCAAAGCCGAGGCGCGTGCCTTGGCCGCCCGCGAGCACCATGGCGGCGACCTCGCCGCGGTTGATGGCCTCGTAGCCGGCGGCGCGCCACGTGTCGATGGTCTCGGTCGGCGACGTGAGGAGCGAGTCGAATTCGTCGAGAGGCGAGATCGAGCAGTTGGTCAGCGACGCCTGCGCGGCCTTGTCAAAGAGAAGCGACTCGGTGTAGATCTTCTTGATATACGCCACGTCCAGCGACTCGAGCTACAAAACTCGTCTTAGCGCAGACTAGACAACGGAGACGATGTACGTCGTGCACGAGCTGCTTGACGTCATCGTCACTGTGCTTGCCCTCTTGATCGACAAACTAGCAGCAGCCATCGATAAGTCGTCGAGATGCAAGATAGTGCTGTACCTGGAAGACGCTGCTTTGCTCGCCGTCAGCATACGCCTTGCGCAGTGCGGCAGGAACCGACGGATGCTCGTACTTGGGCGTCGTGTCCTCGATAGCGACGCTTGAGCGGCGAGAGAAGCTTGTCGCCTTGCGGAGCGACACATCGCGCGGCGATGCTGGCGATGGTGTCGCCTCAGCGGCCACGGGCGAGCTCGGTGGGAAGCTCGACGCGCGCGATCCTGCGCGCGAGAGGCGCGGGCTCGACGCAGCCTCCGGTCCGCCTGTCTCGGCGGCGCCCTCCAAAGACGGCCGTGGGCTCGCTGCCTGTGGCGATGATGGCACGGTCGTCGTCGGCGTCGATGGCTGGGGGTCCATGGCTCGCTGCTACTTGGCGGGATTAGGTCGTCTGTGGTTGGTTTTTTGGGTGTTGCGAAAACATCCCTGGCAGTTTTTAATCTTTCAGTATCCGGCGGCCTGTGACTAATATCCGGATGCTGCAGTAAGCAACGGCCAGCTCGTTGCTGGAAACGCACCAATGGTGTGCCGCGATTAGCTCAATCTCGCATCCAATTGGTCAAAAACAGCGAAATACTGAGCTTTGCCATCGACACCGCTCTTGCCAGCGCATCAGAGAGCAAATCCACCTCCCGAGTTACCTTGGAGGAGAAGAGTTGATGGACTGGACTGTACACTATATACTGCAGATACGCAAATGCGCATCTAATCCTAGCACGCCGCGATTCTCTCCAGCATTCCCTTGGAGCTCGTTATCGCACCAAGATACGTTTTCATGTAGTACACTACCTCGCCAAATGAGCCAATCAAGCGGAGGCACGTTGCTTTCTTTCGAAGGGATTGGATAAAAGTCCCTGCAGTCATTACTGGATTTCTTCACTATCCGGATCCCGGAAACACAGGTTTCAAAATGGTCTCTTTATTATCTCTGTATTAAAATACACAGCGCTCACAGGTATTATAATTTCGTATTTGACTTTATGATCGTACTGAGACAGTAATGAAATATATGTAAGAATAGAGACAGTATGGGAGAAGGATTTGACGCCGCCTCTGCAGCGCCATTCCAATCGCAAGTCGACTTGCGCACACTCTTGGCCACACTGGGTTAACTCAGGGGTTAACTGTACTAGTACCTTCTCTCCAGAGAACTCGAAGACTGCAGCGACCACTCCTTGGCCAGCGACACAGTGCAATGCCCTTCTTTATACATTTACTGTTCGGAAGCGCATGAAAGCGCATGATTTTTTTCGACCGCAGTCTTGACGCCTTCTCCTAAGCTTGCCGAGTAAGGGTTAGATCACATTGCATGGTTTGATATGTCCTACCCAGCGCACGACGTCAGCATTATGACGCTACGTCAGAATTATGACGGGAGAAATTCCACGCGCGGTTGGCCTGCAACTCGCACTCATGATCCAGCTCGGCACCCCAAGGTCGACCTCGAGGAGCATGACGACAATATGACATCCCCTGTCCCATGGCATGGGACTGATCACCTCCGAAGGGAACCGTAGGAGTTCAGCGTTTTGTCGTACATGCTGTAGCAGATGAGATGTTCTCAATGACCACCGACACGGAGGACTATCGACGGCGCCAAGCAGCTCACCCGTTCAACAGGAACAAGCCACTCGCGTACGAAGCGATACAAGCGAGCCACTGAGACTTAAATATCTTAAACGACGTTAGTGGACGTTGTTGGAGAATGAGGTGTCCGCAGCGACGATGTGGTCCTTCTTGAGCAGCCCGAGACCGTAGCCCAGAAATTTTGAGCCATTCGTGTCCCTACACCACTTAGTCTTATCTTGGTTTGGACAGCTCTGTACCGCGTACTCTCGACCTTGGGACGAGGCCGACGATGTGATCTACGCCAACTCTTGATGAGCTCACGAGTGCCAACTAACTGCCGAACGAAGGTTTGGCTTGTCCTAACTCGCCCGGCGCCGAGTGAGTCTTGTTTAGAGCAATCTCATGCAGCGTTGACGGCGGAGGTAGCTGGCCGCGCTCGCGCAGCAGGTTGATATGCGCAAGGGCTCTGTCGTCGCGTGCTCCGTTCCACTTGGCCGTTCCTTGCAATACATGACTCTCAGCACTTATTGTCGAGGCCACCTTTTTTGACGCAGTGAAATGGGTTGCGCTGAATGTTGACTGCTTCGCCGTCGGCTTCGGCAAACACAACACCGTACCCGCGCTACGCAATGCCACGTGTAAACGACGGAAAATATTGTCAATAGTGGGTACCATGAGCGCCGACTCCTTGGCGCTCGCCCCTAAAAATCCATTAGTAGGTCAATGTGTCCAACCACCTGGACTACCGATCGTGCTTTGCGTGAGCTTCATTTGGGCCATGTGCAGATCAACCATCGCTTGGTTGTACCGGTCCGTCCAGACTGCCACGTCATTCGTCGACGCAATCAGCTTTCTACACCAATGCCCACCATGTTGATTGCGCGGCCAATGACAAAGGTGCGCTACCGTCGCGTCTCAAGGAGCTGCAGTTGTGTGGTCTCGAGCTCCTTGTGCATGGCGAGATACTCTTTTTCCGACGTCTATAGACAATATTGAACATCGCCGAGTACTCAAATATGTCATAACAAACATGGAGAAGCTTTGTACTGCAACGCACGGTCGCGCGAAGGCCGTTGATCTCGGCGCGACTGTGACTCGCCTCCTCCTGCGCCAAGAGAGCACCTTTGGTCGCGACCGTCTATCACGTGAGCGTCAACCCTATGCAATGAGGCGTAGGTCGTACGGCTTCGGTGGCGAGGGCACGGAGCTCGCGCTCGCGGAGGTGCGCGGCTTCGAGGTCCACGAGGCGCTGCGTGCGCTCTTCCTGGAGCGCCTCCAAAAGCACGTTCACTTGCCGGTTCTTCATGAGCGTCTCGCTGCAGTAACGTCAACAACGTCACCAACAAGAACCAAACCCACCGCTCGGCGCGCTCAGTGGCAATGTCTTCATGGAGCTTTGTGTTTTCGGCTTCGAGCGTCCTATACCACGTGTTGCCGAGTTGCACGCTCCATTCAGTCTACTTGATGCGGCCTGCTTGAGCTACTCGCAAATTGAGTTTGAGGTTCATTGTCGTGAGTAGATGGCGGAGGCGTACACTGGTAGCGCAAGCGCGCCATCTCGAGCGACTGCTCGAGCTTCACAATGCGCTCCTAGGACGCCACGTCACAAGTCGGCGACCTCGCCGGCCTGCCACGTACCTCGTACTGTCTCGACTGCAGCGGCATCGTCGTCCAAAGCTCAAGTCCCAGCCAGTTTCACCGTTACGCGAGCTAAAGACGAGCGACATCAACGGCGGACGAGTGGTCTAATTAATGTGTGGAATCGACCAACTATATTGACTAGACGACTTGGTGCGCGAACCGGGAGGAGCGTTTGGCCGCCGCGAGGAGCGCGTTGACACCGATAAGGAGGTCGCCTTGCGCGCGGAATGCATTGATGCCACTGCCGGCGCTCGACCCTAGCACAGGGGGCGACAACCGGAAGCGAAACCCGTGGTCCCGCGTCAGCTGCGTCTGGAGGCGCTCAAAGGCTGCTGTGGTCTGCGTCGACAGTGGCGTTGGCGGCATCTGCAGCGCACCGTGCAGCTGCACACCCCGTAGCACAAGCATGTGTAAGCTCAGGTCGAACGTATCGGGCAGCGTCTCGTCCCGAGGGAGGGCCATGCAGTTGAGTGCAAACCCGAGAAGTTGGCGATGCAGCACCGACCTATACGATTGTACCTTAGTTTTGACCACGAAACAAGACAGAGGGACGTACGTGAGCGGTGAAAAGACGGGCGGGTCGGGCCACGTCAAGTGCGACACGAGGTGTTCGACGCAAAGCTGCAAGCTGCACGTAAACTCCCGCGCCGTCCCAAGCGTCGTCGCCTGCGAACTGCAGGTCCACAGCAGTTGCAAGAGCGGAATCCAGTCCTCCGACCCCACGAGCGCGTGAAGGCGGCTCGACACAATTTCGTGCGTAAATGCTTCCAGAACGAGTCGGCGCAGCGCCGGCGCTTGCTGAAAGAGGCCCCGCGCAAAGTAGTCGGCTTCGCGCTTGTAGCTCGGCGCAGCGTTCGACTCGATTGGGTAAAACGACGCGAGGCCCAACGGTCCGTCCGGGTCGACGAGGTTGTACAAGAGCGTACGCAAGGGCGCGGAGGCGAACCCGCCTTCGTACAGTCGGTACATGGACGCCGTCTACGCCATCTCGTCGGCCAAATCGCATGCAAACAGTAGTGTACCTGGGCAAACCAGTTGAGGAGCGTCGGGTAGTGCTGGACGGCCAAGAACGTTCGTGCGACGTCGACGACTTGAATCCACGGCTTGGGCAGCTTGGAACCAAACCAGGACGTTGGTGGTCCAGGCTTTTCTCGGAAAATCGACGCGACTTGGCCGTGCAGAAGACTCTCGGCGGCCGTCGAGTGCGTCGCGTAGCTCGCACTGGGAAAGAGCTCGCGCAGCCAGACGTGAAACACGAGGCTGGTGCCCCGCGCCAAGTGTCCGCAGCCTTCCAGGAGCGCCCCAACGCCGTCGTAGAGACGGGCGACATACCGCACGACTTGCTCGGTCTTCGAGGACCCGCGCTCCAAGGCATCGAGCACTCTTGCGTCGTAGACCGCGTACGGCATAACCGAATCTTGAAAAGCGTGCAAGGCGGCCCACTGCGGGCGGTCCACGCAGAGTTCGAGGAGGCTTGCTGTCGCGCCGTCCAGCACGGCGCCGAGCCAGCCTTTCGATACATCGGCCACCACCGACCGGAGAAGGTGCGGGTGTGGCGTATACACGGTAGCAATGTTCTTGGCGAACGCGCGCCATACTTGGGTGCGATGACTGGCTTCTACGTGATGCAGAAGCGGCGTCTGCGGCGCCAGAGCGAGCGTCATGTCGGTCACAACCTCGTCCGACGCAGTAGCGTCCATGAGACAAAGCAGCCACGCCTCGACAAAGAGCGAATCGCGCCGGTGGGTCTGCGCAAAAGCCGCCACGAACGCCGCCTTGTCAGTCGCACGACGCAACGCGTGGGAGAACGTTCTCGGAAACACGAGACGCAGTGACGCAGCTGTCGTCGACGCAAGCAAAAGGTCCCAGCTCGTTCCCGGCGCGAGCGAAAGGACGCCTCCGAGGATCGCGATGGCGTTTGGTGTCTGCGGCGCGTGAAGCACGAGCTTTTGCAGCGACAGTCGCAGTTGCTTGACGACGTGTTCGCCCACATGCGTTGTCACCAACGACACAAACGTCAGAGTCGGCACCGTCGACGGCGTACTACCATCGGTCGAGAGCAATGCGTCCATGTCCAGTGCCGCCAACAGCGCAAGCTCTTCGGGGTCGTCAAACTCATCGACGGGCGCTGGCGCCGGGACCGATGTCTTGGGCGGCAAGAGTGCGTCAAGAAGGTCCAGCGCGAGTCGTGTCGTGGCTGGCGGCACTTGTTGCGAGAGACTGGCTTGAAGCACAGTGTCGAGACCGCTGTTGAACATTGCGACCAAGCAATTTGCAACGTCTTCGACAACCCCGGGCGCGAGCTCGAGCTGCTTGAGCGCTAGTACAATGTCCAGAAAGCATTGCAGCGTTAGCACAATGTTGGCTACCATACGCCGCGTGTATGAGTGCAACCATAGCAATCGGTACGAAGTCTACCTTGCAGCACCACGACGGGCGATACGACACGCGTGTCGACTGTCGTTTTGGGTCGGACGAGCTCTTCCTGCAGCCGCCTGACCATGTCTGCGAGGAGGTCGCTCATCGACGTCACGAGCGACGGCAAGCACTGCTGAGCGACCGAGATAAGACCGCGTGCCAAGAGCCAGAGCGCATGCAGAGCCAGGCTGTCGTACTCGAGTTCGTTGTTGCAAAAGCGGAGAATTTCCTTGGCGTAGTAACCCACGTCCCGCTTGAGCGCTTTGGCGTCCGTTTGCGACCTCAGCGTACTCAGCGCCATAGAGAGAAAGACTGTGCACTGCGTGAGGGCCTAGACAGCAACCATTGTAGGAGCTTCTTAGCAGCGGACGGTGTACCGTCGCTCGGTCATCGAGCCACGCAGCGAGGGGCTTGGCTTGTCGCCGTGTACTCGCGTTGGTTTGGGCCGTCGCCGCCGACGCGGGTGCCGCTACTGCCGCACTCGGTTTGCTGGGTGCCGCGGCCATGCCCGACCAGTTCCACTTGGCGGTTGGTGTGACGGCCGCGGGCTTGAGAATTGTTAGAATCGGGTGGCGGAAGCGGTTGCGCTGGACAGGTTTGGCAAATTGACGCAGTTGCATCTATGGAGCATGTATCAAAAGTGGAAACTGGAAGATGCGAGTCTGTACAGCGATGACACGGCCCATGAGCTCCACGGACGAGCACTGGTCGATGGCATCAACGAGGTTGGTCGCCCCGTCCGTCGCGAGCTCGATGAGGAAGCGGGGAAAGCGGCAGCTGCAAAACTGTGGCATGGAGCATGTGCACGCCACGTGCTTGCGCAAACACGGGCAATCGCCGTCGTTGCACGCATGGCTGCTCGAGGCAACGCACGAGCACTGTCCCGGGTGGCTCGACGCAAGTTGGCTCAAACTCAACACAACGGCCACAATGGGCACTAGTTTGAGCTCCAACATGAGCAATATTTCCCAATGGTACAAGCCACGTACGGTGGTTGGGCGCCCACATCGACGACAAGAGCAAGAGCCGCTGGAGCACGCGCACACGATAGCGCTCGACCTTGTCCAAGGGGTAGTTGTACTTGGCAGCGTCAAAGCGCGGCGAGCACGGCAGCGCGTCCATCGACGAGAGGAGGAACCCGACCAGCGCCCAGTGGTGCAGCGTCCTATTCAAATTCATGAGCCGCCGCCGATACTTGGAGGCGCGGACTCGATCGTCGGTACGACAAGATGGAAGAGTGGGGCCAATGCGACAGTCGTGTCCCACACGAGCTCGCGCAGCAGCATGTCGATACTTGTCGACGCCTCGGCGACAAAGGTGGCTGCGACGATTTTGCGTAGCTGCGGCAAGAGCTCAGTGAAGAATGCCCAGAATTCGGCACCGTGCAGACGCATGAGCTGGAGCCAAAGCGCGTCGTAGCCGTCCGCGCCCGTGTTCAAGAGGTGCGGGACGTGCAAATGCATCTCGAGGAGGAAGAGCGCAGCAGCTTGCTGCGTTTGTTTGCCTGGTACGAGCGACACACAGTGCGCGTGCACGCTCGTGAGTGCCGACAAAAGTGGCGTCGACGCTGCTTCCGTGAGCTCCAAGTAATAGTAGTACGCCGGTGTCGTCTGGAGGAGCGATGCGACATGCGGAAGACAATTTGTCGTCAAGCGGAGCTCCTCGAGCAGAAGCTGCTGCGCCTTTTCTTTATGACGGGCGTCTTGGACAGCGAGGTACGCAGCGAGGCTACCTAGCAAGTGACTACAATCGGCCGCTTGCGCCCCCAAGGCGGCTTCGTCCCGTGCCAGCTCCTATCGATCAGTATCAATCTGTCAAATGCCATTAGTGTGGAACGGCACCTCGTCCGACATAACGTGCGACTGTGTGGTTTGCTCCAACCACTGCGCCTCGGCGGTTTGAAGGTCACAGAGCCGATGCCGTAGCGTCCGAAAAGCCCGTTGTAGCACCCCAGCTATCGGCGCATCCTACATTGTCTTCATAAATACGATTTCTTCGGAGCTCGAAGTGGCAACCTCATGGAAGAAGGAGGACGTCAGTGGTGGCGTCATGGTGCGGGCTTCAATACGCACAAGAGCGTCGGCCGAGTACACAAGTAGCGTTGGTAGCGCGTCTGAGACGAAGTCCAAGACACAGACGTCTGGTGCCACCGATGGCTCATCCGCAACCGGTGGCGACGCGGTGGGCAGCGGTTCGGGCTGGCGTCGGGGCACCACCACCGACTTTTTGGCTGGAAAAAACGGAATGAGCGGCCGCGACCGCTCCTGGCGATGCCGCCAGAGTGCTTCAAACACGTTGCGGGATCGCGACCGCTTGGGCGGCTTGGGTGCTGGCGCGATCGTGGCAGGTGCCACCGGGCGGGAGGGCGCCGGCGCGGCCCGGCGCGTCGGCTTAGCCAGCGCTTTCCAGTCCCACGTGGTCGACTCGAGCACAGCGGCCGGAATCGTGCGGCTGTTGAGCGTCCGGGGAATAAACACCGATGGCTCATCAAATCGATCGTCATTGGTGTCGTCGTAGCTGAAGTCGAGGTCGTTGCCGTTGTCGTTAGGGGCGGGCTCGAAGAACCACGGCAGTGCCGACTGCTCTCGGTGCGGCGGTGCGTGGTACACGTCGTCCCATAGCAGCGGCGTCGTTGCCGGCTTTGCTTTTTGTTTCGTGCTGGGTTTGGTCTTGTCAAGGCGCTTGGGCCTCGTGGTCGACACCGAGGAGAATGAGGCGCGGGGACGTGCAGGCCGCGTTGTGTGAAACTGCTCAATGAACGCCGGAATCGCGGGCTCGGCCGACAGCGTATTGTAATAGTCGTCGTCATCGCTGCTGCTACTGTCACTGGGACTCGCTGGACGCTTCTTTGTCGATGACAGTGGCAGCTGCGATGGCACCGACAGACCCTCGCGGTGCAGTCGCTGCAGCGTCGTGTCGCGCAGCTGCCGCAGCCAGCTCGCATACGCATTCACTAGCTCTTTTCGCTGGTCGTGCTGGAGGTTCTCGACGGGTTTCTAAAAAATTGGTGCAAAATTTGTGGTAGTACTGGAAAGACGGACGCGACGTACGATGGACTTGCCCTTGGCGTCTAATTTGCGCAGAATTGCATCCAAAATGTCTTCTTCCCGAACGATCGACAGTGCATGCAGCGCCTCCAGTTCGAGAACCTGTCACCATAAATCGATGTTTGCTCCTACAATCATGATACAATACCTTGTCGTAGAGCGCGAGGGGCGGTAGCGTGCTGGCAACGAGACTCTCTTTGGCGCGACCAAACTCGGCAAGCACGAGCTGGAACTGCTCCGTGTGCACGGCGTACTGGTGCAAAAGATCCTTGGAGGTCTTCCCAAGGCGAAACCCCGTATCTTTGCGCACGTCGTCCGGTAGCTCCATCGCGTTGTCTTCCGGTTGAATAAAGTTGTCGGCTTCCTCGAGGTACCCGCCGACATACCGCCGCTTCTTGGCGCGCTTCTGCCGCCGAACACGGGGCTCCAGTACGTCCTGTGGTTCCTCGAGGCGCGTTGTCGGGCTCCACGAACCACCCCCAAAGTCGTAGTCGTTCTCAACCTCCACAGGCTGGTCCGCACCGTACTTGTCGACTGGTAATGTGCTCGTGACGGCCTGCCCCACGTCCTTGGCCACGTCATGCTCGTGGAGAGACGGCTCGGTCCACGTGGTCGCCCTCTCAGGGCTTTCGACGACGCGCTCATCGTCATCTGAGCCGCCCGTCGTGATGAAAAAATCTTCGTTTAGAGGCGCTCGTTTTGGCTTGGCGATCGGCCGAGTACTTGCCGGCGTCACTGTCACTGGTGGTAGAACCCGAGGACGGCTGGGTACGACCACGTTGTCTTCGGCGCTGCTACTGCCATCGTCGTCGTCGAAGATGCGCGTCCGTGGGTGCTCGGGCGCAGAGCGAGGTGGTTCGTCCTTTCTCATACGTTTGGGCTTGGGATGGAGGACGTGCTCGACTGGTGCGTCGAGGTCGGCGCGGCGCTTGCGGCCATACTCGTCCGCAAATTCGTCGTGGAAGAAGACGCGCGAGTAGCGCTGGCGCGCGCGCTTCTGGTGCATGTCGGACGGTTGCACGTACGCGACGTCGACGCGCTTCTCACTGCCGCCGAGGAAGTAGCGCACGTCCACGAACGTGTCGCCGCCGTCGCTGTAGACACTAATGACCCGCGCCGCGCCGCCGATCTTGTTGATACCTGGCCACGTACGCGTCTCGACCTCGACGAGGTCGCCGACCTTGAACCCAGCCTCATCCTCGTCTTCGTCGACCTCGTCGTCATGGGCAGCGTCGGTCGCCGGCGCCCCCGTTGCTGGAGCTGGCGCTGGAGCGTCGGGCGCCGCTGCCGGAGCGATGGCCGGTGGTCGGAAGCCGTAGTAGCCGGCGTCTTCGTCCTCGGACTGCGAGTCTTCGACGAACTCAAAAGCCCGCGCAATCATCGACTCCATGCTTGCGCTCTGTGGTTTCGACGAGGGTTTTCATTTCCCACGTGGTATTCTTCACATAAAGCACACATGTGTGGTGTCGAGTGGTTAAACGCGCATTGCGTACGCGTTAATTGCGTTAATCTGCAGAAATCCTGCGCATGATTGCTGGCACGTTGGCGATCAGCTCATCGTGATTAGAAGATGCGTTCAAAGGGCCAAACCAACCAAGACACTGTCTCTACGACAGCAGTAGACGATGACGTCGTCGCACCGCCTGCGTAATAAGGTACGATCGATTCAAAGGACAGCCAACAGAGTGCTGCGCCAGCCACGACGAAGGCCGGCTTACCGATTCGTCGTAGGCTTGGCTTGGCGACAAGTCAAAGCGGAAACCGCGAGAAGACAACTCGTCCGCAGTTGTGTTGACTGCCTGCAATCGCGCGACAACAAACGCCGAGTCACTTTAGGACTCGTGCCATTTCTCCCAGAGAGCGAATAGTCCCGACTCATTGCTGCACTTCCTGGGGCTCTGACTCGGCTGATGAAGAGGGCCTTTGGAAAATAAGACGCTATCAGAAATTGCAGTCGTGCGTGGGATTGAAGCGTGGCTCAACTTCAACCGGCGCCATCGTCCAGAAGTGTGTTACAGTGTCGACGTAGCAAGTAGCGGTAATAGAGTGCGCCCCGTAGATCCGCGCTGAGAAACATCGACCAAGTCGTCACTGCGTCGGCGGCAAATATTTGACGTCGTCGCCTCCTGCTGGTCGCATCCTCGCTACTTGGTGCATTGGTTGCATCATCATCGCCGAGATATTCACGTGGGAAACAGTGTGAAACAGTGAAAAACGATGCATGATATTGGTACTTGTATGGACGTGGGATATTACCGCCCACCACGTGTTGTTCGAAGGATATCTCGACCGATCCCCAGGGGCATTTCGAGTTTGGCCGGACGATGACAACGACGAAGCCTGCTGCCCGCGAGCTGGCGGCGCCGCTCCTCGCTGTCCTCGACGACGAGACCAAGAGCCTCCTGCACCCGCTGCTAGACCATGCGGAGGCCCTCGAGGCCTCGGTCCGCGACCTCCGCGCGCAGCTCGATGGGCTCCGCAGCCAGGTCCAGCGCTCGAATGCAGCATCGCTGATCCAAGCTGGCTTCAAGGGCAAGCTCGACCGCGAGAAGATCAAGTCGGCGCTCTCGTTCCAGGAGCAGGGTACGCGCGTCCTTAACAAGTACGTGCTCAAGCGCGACCGCTTCCCCGACTGCCATGTACTCGACACGCCCCACGGCGACAGCGGTACGGTCACCATCATCCTCGTGAGCATGGTCATCATGGATTGCGTAGCGCCCAACTTTCGCCGGTTGCTGGACACGCCCTTCTACGGCGGCGCCCAGCCCACCGAGGTAGTACACGCAGATCGTCCGTAGCGAATACTGACCTTGCTCTTCCAGGACGGCTGCCGCTTGATTCTGGACCGTGTTGCCGCTGATGGGTTCACCAAGGTTATCTGGATCAACGTGCGCGAGGTAGATCATGCCATCGTTCTATGCCAAGAAGACAGCGTCGGTGTAGGAAGCCGTGCTCTTTGTCAAGGGCGTCCCGTACACGGCGCGTGTCCGTGCCAAGCTCAACGAGAACGACTTGGTGCCCGGTCTTACGGGGCACACGATCCAAGTGCTGGAGGCTTCGCTCAAGAACAGCCTCATGGAGCAACTCGCCTTGCGCAACCACGCGTTCGAGTACTGGCACGAGCCGACGCCGCTCGTGAACGAGCTTGCCGTCGAGACCATCGACCCGACCGACGTACGCGTCTTTCGGATGGCTTTACCAAGTCTTATTTTGTCGTCGTAGGTACACACGCTGCCCGAGTTGATGGAGGCGCTGCAGCACCCGACGATCGAGAACACTACGTTCCACCGGATCCCAATCGACCGCGAGAACTTTCCCGAGCAAGACGTCGTCGAGACGTTTGTCGACCTCGTCCAGCGCGCCGATATGCACACTGCGTTTGTCTTCAACTGCCAGGTAGACGTCATATGCCGCATTGCCCTTATATTCGTCGACTAGATGGGACGCGGGCGGACGACGACGGCCATGACGGTCGCGTACCTCAAGTGGAGCGTCATGCAGCCCGACTCGGTCGTCGAAGTTCCAGACGGACTGCCGATGACGCGCTCGCATCGATCGCTGACGCTCGACCCGAGCACGATTGATTACGCGCTCGGCACGTTCAAGGTATTATTATATTTGCTCTTTTTGTACTTCTGACACTAAATTGTAGGTGATTTTGGCGCTTTGTGAGACGCTGGAGCAAGGCACGCACGCCAAAGCGTGGATTGACGCAGCGATCGACGACTGCGCGGCCGTTTACCACCTTCGGCGCGTCATCGAAGAGTGTCGGCAGGTAGACATGTTTGGGATCGCTGTCCATAGGTCACGAACGTTCCCCGTGTAGCGATCCATGGCCGAAGCCAAGCCGGCCAAACGCTCCTTCTACTTGGTACAACGGGCTGTGAAATTCAAAGAAAAGCTCATTCCACGAGGTAGCATCGCGCGTGCCGCCTCCTCGAGCGCTACTTTTACTTTATCATGTTTGGCCAGTACCTCCTGGAAGCCCATGTGCAGAGCTTCTCGAGCTGGCTTCAGCTCCATCCCGACCTCTTTCGCCTTCTCGACGACCTTGGTGGCGCCACGTATCCGTCGAGCAAAGTGCTGCACAACAACATTCTCAAGTTTGACCACTTTCCGGGCCTCAGCCGCCTGCCCCTCGTCCTCGGCCCCAACGTCCCGAACTACCGTCAACTCGGTGGCATGCCGCTCTTTGGCACGGCGCAGGTACCATGCTCTCTCTCTCGCTCGCTTCAGATCTGTAGCGAATGACGACATTTTGGCTAGTGCTTGGAGCTCGGGATCGTCGATGTCTTGGCCCATCTCCGGGACGTTCTCGGCCACAGCCGCGTCATCTGGATCAACTTGCGGGAAGAGGTCGTCTTGTACGTGGCGGGCAAGCCGTACGCAGTCCGGAAGCGCGACGACGTCTTCCACAATGTTGAATATCCCGGCATCGAAGTCGACGAGATCACGGCGATCGAAGCGACGCTCAAGACGGAGCTGATCGCGAAAGTGCAGGCCTCGAACGGCTTGTTCATGCACCTCTGCGAGCCGCAGCCGCTCGTCACCGCCGAGCGCTTTGATGCGATTCAGCCCGAGACCGACATCAAGACACTCGAGGAGGTGTACGCGGCGGCTCAGCACCAAGGCTACGACGTGCGCTACGCCCGCATTCCAGTACCTTCCTCTGCTCGCAGTTATTTGCTGACAAAAGTCCACCTAGGTGTCGGACGAAATTGCCCCCGAAGAGAAAGATCTGGACGACCTCGTGCGGCTGCTGGTGCCCATTTTCCGCGCTGAAAAGTCGGGGGCTGTCGACGGCCACACAGCGATCGTCTGCAACTGCCAAATGGGCCGCGGCCGGACGACGACGGCGCTGGTTTGCATGTACATGCTGCGGGCCGTCGTCATGGGGCAGGTGACGCTCGGTGACGGGCACAAGACGCGTTTTCATAACATTGACGCGCTCGTGTCGCTGCTTGAGAATGGCGCGACGAGCCTTGCGCTCGTGGATGAGGCCATTGACACGGCCGATCATGTGCAGAACCTCCGTGAGTGCATCGACCAGTGCCGTGAGATGACCAAAGAGGTCGGTCTCCCGAGCGCCAAGCAAGATTACTTTATGCAGCGCGCCAGTACGTGTCCTTTCTCATGATGGTTTGTGAAAGGATGCTGAGGATATTGTGGCTAGTGAACTACCTGGAGCGGTATTTCTACCTCATTTGCTTCGCCTCGTACGTTCTCGAGCAGCACGCGACCAACTTTGAAGTGCTCTTTGTCCACTGGATGCGCACGCGGTACGGTGGCGCGCTCTACGCGCTCCTCGACAATCTCTGCTTTGGCACCGAAGGCGACGACCACGTCTCGTCGTTGCGCTGGCGCTGGCGCCGAAAGCGCAAGCTTGTCAACCGTCTCGAGTAGACAACTTGGTTTTTGCTAATCGACCACATTTGCGCAAGTGAATCACAAGCATCGCAGTGACGATGCGACGTGTACCAAACACGCGAACGTGATCCAAGCCAAGGAAACAACCTTGGTTATTATTCCCTTGGTGCAAGCGATGGATCCGGAGGGCTTCCCAGTCTATCGACATAGGACTTGTCTGCTCTGGCGATCAGCGTCCAAACGACGTGAGCATGTAGAAGACCACACTTTGTACACATTGTTTGGACCAATATCCATCATCAGTCCCGTGCCAGAGAACCCACACCTCGCGACATTTGGTTGGCGTCCATTATTCGTGAGGCCAGGACAATCAAGGTGTATCCTTCTTTCCTGCTGGATCCATCGAAGGACCGCTCACTTCTCCTTGTTGATATCGCGACAAGGTGGTCGTATACCAAAATCGATCTCATTTTTGCTGGGCCCATTCCGCAACGATCCAGCTCCCTGCTCGGCTCCTTGCTGCGCCACGTCAAGTTCTTATTCTCGGTTGTTGATTAAAGAGACTCGACGCGACTGGACGACGCGCGATGATCGCCACAAGTTATCTTCCTTCGGCTCTCACGGGCTGCTGAGAATACCTGGTTCACATGCCACGATGCCTCGGCGTTGTTGGGCCAGGATCGAACACGATCGAATGCATCGCTGCGCGCATCGAAGCTGCGGAGTTTCACTGGGCTTCATTGACCATCGCGCGGCTCGGTTCACTTTGCCTTTTGGTGCCAATGACGACGAACCGTGCGCTCCCGAGCTTGAAGCTCACGTACTTTGACATGCCGGGGCGCGCCGAGCTGATTCGCCTCGTGTTGTCGCTGCACGACATTCCTTTCGAAGACGAGCGGCTGACCCGGGACGCATTTGCGGCTCGCAAGGCGTCGTTTCCGTTTGAACAAGTGCCGACGCTCACGATCGACGGTGTTGAGTTTGCCCAAGGCCACAGCCTCGCGCGCTATGTCGGGAAGCTCACGGGCATGTACCCGTCCGACCCAATCGACGCACTGCGCGTCGACGAGATGCTCTCATTTCAAGAAGACGTGGTACAGGCGCTCATTCCGATGCTCCGCGAGCAAGACATTGAGCGCAAGACGGCGCTCGCAACCGAGCTCGCGAGCAGCAAGCTGCCGCACCTTTTTGAGCTCCTGGAACGTCGACTGGCGGTGACCAAAGGCACGTTTGTACTGGGCGAGACCATGACGATGGCCGATGTTACACTGTATGTGCTCTTTGCCACGTTCAAATCTGGACGATTTTCACCCATGGACACTGCGTTCGTCGACGACTACCCGCACTGGCGCGCCATCTACACTGTGTTGCACGGCCATCCAAAGGTTCAAGCTTATTACGCCCAGCAGGCCGAGCGGAGCAAGCCCGAGTAGTTTCGTGATTTGCCAGGTTGGACTAAGACAAAGTTAACCGGGAGAAACAAGTCGCTGCGTGTTGTTCTGTGTGGACTGTGGTCGCGAAACAGATGGCTCGCACAATGCGTTGACGACGCGACACAGTTGCACATCGACGCCAGCGACGAAAGTTAGATTCTTCCTTGAGTCATAGAAGAATTTAACACTCGCCGTTGTTGCTTGTCAGCATAGACTATGACGACGCAAGTTAGCAAAGTCCATAGCTCCTTCGTGGGCGAACGCAAGAAGTTGCGGCTGCAGTAGTGGCTTTCGCACGCTCGCCGGTGTAGTCGTGCGAATAAGTTTTGAGCTTTTGCAAAGAACAAGTGCCCAACACCTGCGAAGAGACTCAAGTCCCATGGGTCGATATATAGGTTACAGTGTAGACGACGGAGTCCTCGCGACGGAGCTGACCTGTTACCAAACGCTACTGCGCTCAAGGGCACCAACAGTCGCAGCCACTGTAAGCAGAGCTTTGACTGGGGTAAGCAATGAAATACATGCAAGGAGCCCTTGATACCAAGCACAGAAGCGACGACGACTCGTCACGCGTTACTGGCCGAGCCTTCTCAGTGAATTGGAGGAAGTCCGACCGTGGTTACCAGTAGGGTGCCTTTGTCATGCGCGCTTTGCACGTTGCGTCAGGGGGCACTAGCATCTACTGCTGGGTGCAAAGCTAGGTGTGCTCCTGCACTGCAGCACGCGCGAGGACCTTGCCCTCTGCCCACAGTGGCGTTCATGGCGTCTCTTTGCGCTGCTAAACTGCTCATCCTACTTTTGACGGGTTCGAATGGTGTGGATGTGTTGCACATCGGGTGGTGGGCAAAGCACAGCTCCTTTCTTTGCTTCTCTCAACGCACTCCTTGGATCAATATGAGGACCTTACGCCACAGAGACAGCCCATGCGCTGCGGTAGTAGGCAACTTTTGTGAAAGGCTTCAAGCGTGACTCACATCCTACACCCAAGCCGCTTCGAAGGCCGACACACCGCGTGCCTTTGCCAGAAGAGGTCATGTGCATTGTGTTGTGCACTCCTTTCGGCCAGTGATGGGCTTATAGCGTGCATTAGCAAATCGGCTGCCAGAGGCTCGAAAAAGATGTCACTACAAGCTCCTTGTCCCGACTTCATCGCAGCATTGCATACGTGTATTGCCAAGTTTGCACTTTGGAAATGCAATGCTGGGCTACTGCCAGCTGGCGCTGCCACGTGCCCACGACGGACGTTCTTGCTACGAGTTCGACGGCATGTTTCGTAATGCCCTTGCACCTGCCACGCGCGACGATCCCACCCATGTCGACGCACTCCACACCTTCGTCACGACGACCCAACGTCCTTGTTCACTTTACCTTTTTCCATCGACAGCGCCATGCCCCACACGCACCCGCAGCTGAAGCTCACGTACTTTCCGATTCCTGGGCGCGCGGAGCTCATTCGGCTCCTCCTCTACATCCACGACATTCCGTTCAAGGACGAGCGCCTCACAATGGAGATGTTTTTGCGCCGGAAAGCCGAGTTTCCCTTTGAGCAGATGCCGACGCTCACGATCGACGGCGTCGAGTATGCGCAGAGCCACTGCCTTGCGCGCTACGTTGGGAAGCTCACGGGCATGTACCCGTCCAACCCGCTCGATGCACTGCGCGTCGACGAGATCCTCGCCTTTGAAGACGATATTGTCAAGACGACAGTCGCCGTGGTCTACGAAAAAGACGTCGTGCGTCAAAAGACCATGGCGACCGAGCTCTCGCAGACGACGCTGCCCAAACTCTTTGGCCTCCTCGAAAAGCGGATCGCGATGACCAAGGGCGTCTTTGTGCTCGGCGAGACCATGAGTATCACGGACATTGCTCTCTACGCACTCATGGCGACCTTCAAGTCGAGCCGCCTAAGCGTCCTGGACACACATTTCATTGACAAGTGCGCGCACTTGCGCGCCATTCACGACGCCGTGCGCGACCACCCCAAAGTCCAATCGTGGAATGCTAAGTACAATGCGTACTAGGACAGTTGATGCCTATTTCCCAAGACGCGTTATCTGTCGTTCTTGCTTAGAGGGGCTTGGGCTATCTCAGTGCTGGCATACCGGTAGCTTTTCCGACTCGAGTATAAGGTCCATACACAGCTAGCAACGCATGTGTCGGAAATGAGTAGTCGTTATGAGGACGATATTACTGTCGGTTTTAGTACCTACTATGGCGTCGCCTGGAGAGAGTAGCCGACGAGGAGACCCACGGGCTCGAACCCGAGGCTCCGATACGTTTGGTTGGACGCTTTGTTGTCCGCACCGGAAATGAGCATGTGCGCAATCGCCTGCGTCGGACAAATCGCTTCAACATGCAGCGCGAGGGCAGATGTGAGCGCCTTGGCATGGCCCCGACGCCGCGCCGAGGGCACAATGTAGATCGGTCCGAGCATGTACACGGTCGTGTCGGCCGTCGTCATGGGCGGCGCGAACGCGCCAAAGCCCACACGCGTCTCGTCGACGACATGGAAAAACATGCGGCCGGCGGCAATCGAGGACGTGACGGATGCGGTTGCTACCTCGCGCGGCAGTTCCGACCCGTAGCAGTCCATCTTGAACGCGATCATCCAGTCGACAAGAGGCTCGATGTCGGCGTCCGTGGCCGGCACCAGCGCCCCAGCGGCATTCTCTGGTGGCGTCAGTGTGCCAAGGCGATAGACAAGACCAGGTTCGCCGCCTGTGCGCCACGTGGTGTCGGGGTGCACTTGCTGGTAGCCGTCAACGAACGCATTGGTGCTGGGCTCGTACCCGTGGATCTCGGTCACGCTCGTCACGCCTTGTGTCGCGACGTACTCGCCCAGCGCAAAAGCTTGATCGTACGTCATGTTGGGTCCGAGCGACGGACCTTGGTTCGCTGTCAGCACTGCAAAGGACGTGGGCGTGTGATCGCTGTCACCCGAGAGGAGGTAGAACCACTTGGTCTTGGTCGGCGTCGGAGGCGACTGCGTCATGGACATGGTAATGAGGTTGCTGGCTTCGAGCGCCTGGAGTCGAAGCGGCAGTGTCGCCGCCATGAAGGCCTCGGCCGTCGCCACTTCGGTGATCGTGACCATCGCAGTCAGTTTGTGTCTGCACCCGCGATGTGACACGAGCAGCAGCCGATGGCGTTCGCAAGTCTCTTAAAATGAATACTTGAAGACCAAAAGTGCAAGGTGCGAACCACCACTCAATGGTGGACAGCATCGAGATACTAGCTTTGCACGTGTCGACAGTGCAGCTCTTGCTTCGCGAGGTCCTTCCAAACACACAGGACGTCTTGTCTCGAGCAAGGACCAGTGGCGGCGTCGGACACGAATATCAATTGCTAGAGGTACAACTTCAACTCGAAGGCGAGTGAAGCACTGTTTCAGATTCCTCCCAAGCCCGAACAGGAAAGTTCATTTTTGTCTGCCATTGGTACGTTGGACGAGATGCATGATGCGAGCGCTTCACGCCGCCTCAGGTCACCGCCATCTCTCTTATAGCATTAGTAGCACCGCGAACTGCTGATTGAAGCCCAACACCAAAGGCAGCAAGTGCAAGAAGCATCTCTCGTTTGCCCGGGGTGCAATCCCCGCAAGATTCGCCGTGTTGTTCGCACCAATGCGAGCCTCTCGCGAGCGCCAACAATATAGTCCATAGTTAGTGCCCAGCTACAAATTGTATACATTGTTGCACTGACGACGACGAACCTACTAGTACCTCAGCTCTATCTCTCTGTCGTCTCTTAACTGGTAATTGCCTTTATTCATTTGGCGGACGCGCCCTCAATACGTTGGGAGCTATAACGAGCTGCAATGTGGTCAAAAGAGATTAGCCCCTGTATCTAGGACGTGTATGGCAGAATTTCGGTATCGCGACAACGTACTGCCGGTGCCAACGCTCTCAGCACAGTTGACATCGGCACGTGATACCGTCTTATTTCCCTCAAGAGCGACATTGTCTGCTAGTATTTGATCTACCTGGTAGTGTGCAGTTGTCGGTTTGGATTATAGCAATTTATCGTTTGCCAACGATGCCGTGGCGGTCCAGGAGGCCAGAATACCCAAGTTTGCATCTAATGGTGACGACAATCCCAGAAGAAAGAAGAAGGAGATAAATACGTTCCTTCTAGGCATAGTATGTCAACTGCACTCGCACCGACCCGAGAGCTTTCCGAGAACGGAGCGTTCTTGTGAACGGCGCAATCTATTGCCGAAAATAGTGCCCTTGATATGCGGCATATGCCTCAAATTACGGATAACGGTGCCATCTCGTGAACAACACTCTTTCTGTATACCATACAACGGCCAAGTCTCGGGAACTGGCCAAGCTTTCAAATCCAGAACTGCGAACGGAGCGAAGGATGAAGCCGACGATGCAGGTAGGTCGGCGCGGTTCCCGGCATCCGTGGGCCTCGGGTCCTCTGGAAGATGCATGCAACTGGATGGAAGATCATAGTCTCCATGGGGTAGGCAGTGAAGTGGCTGGGCATGGATCGCCACGGCAAGATGGCGGTCGCGCCGGCCGCGGAGCAAGTGTTGAAGCCGCTCCCAGAGACGCAGCCGATCAACCTCATCAGCATCTTTGGCGCCGCACGACAGGGCAAGTCCTTCCTCATGAACCTCCTCGCGAACCAGCAAGACCTCTTCCGCATCTCAAACGAGAAGGAGCCATGCACGCAGGGCGTCGACCTCTCGAGCCACTTCATGCCGTTGACCGAGTTTAGCCGGCAAAACGGCAACCCAAGCGTCTCGAGCAGCATGAAGGTCGGCTTTGTCGATGCGGAAGGACAGGGCGACCGCGACATTACATGTACAAGGACAATCTCAATCATTGTGCATGGCCTCATATATATGCATAGACGACTCGCGCTTGGTGTCGCCGGTGCTTTTGACGTCCAAGGTGGTCATCTTCAACTGGAAAGACTCGCTTCAAGCCGACCGCATGCTCAACCTCCTCGCCGTGCTCGCCAAGGCCGCGCAGAACGTTGAGCTGGCCGATGGCGACAACCGCAAGGTGTTTGGCCACCTCCACATGTACGTCGCCCGTCTTTCCCTTGGTCTCGACCAGTTCTCATGCAACGCTAATTAGCGTCTTTCGCGACTGGAACTTTGTCAATACGACGCCCGAGCAGGTCTACGATACGCTCTTCAAGAAGGAGAAGGGCGGTGACAAGGAGGTCGGGAACCGCAACCTCGCGCGCCACGAGCTCGTCGACGCCTTTGAGAGCATTCAAGTGTGGCTCTTCCCGTCCCCGGTACGCCATTTTTCGTGGCTCATGTGACCTCGCTAACCCATCACAAATTAGGTTGTCAGCACGGCCCAACTGAGCGAGCGCATTCGCTTTGATCAGCTGCAGCCGTCGTTCCAGACGCAGATGCGGGACTTGCGCAAGACGCTCTCGAACCAGCTCAAGACGCCAATGCAGTTCAACAATCACACGCTCACGGGCCCCGTGCTCTCGGAGATGATTCCGTTCGTTGCCGAGGTACGTGGCGTCGCGGCTCGTATTTTCTCTTATCATGTGGACTAGATCTTGAACGACAACCGCGTCATTATGCCCGAGTCCATCTATGCGTCGATGCGCCGCGCCGAGGCCAAGAAGAAGCAGCGCGAGTGCGAAGACGAGATGCAGCGCATGTGTGACGCGCTCCTGCAGTCGGAGACGCTCGTCTCGACAACCGACTTTTCGAGTCAGGCCACCGATGCGTATTCCTTTGTACGTGCTAAACTGCATGTCTCATGGTATCCCATTAGGTTGATGGGACTCCTTGGTTCGACGATGCAGTCGCTGCAAAAGTACCCCGAAGACGTGGTCGAGGAGTGCAAGAAGGGACTCCACCTCTTCCTCGAGCGCCAAGTCGACGCTAGCGCCAAGGCCAACAACGAGCTCGTCTTGGTCCACTTCCAAACACTCATGGATAACGCCAGCGACAACCTCTCGGCCCGCTTCAACGAACTTGAGGACCAACTCCCGCTCGCACCCGCCGATCTCAGCACAATTTGCGACCAGACGCTGGCCAAGGTCACGGCGCCTCTTCTCGAGTGCCCGACGTCGACGGCGACGACGTACCACGGCGAGATTCGCCGGCTGCAGCAACAAGCGACCGCCTTCAAGGAGCGTCTCCAGCATTTGAACGAGCGTGCGATTCGGACGCGCACGACCGAGCTCCAGGCGAAATTGTCCAAGGCGACGCTAGAGCTCAAGGCCAAAGGTGTCGCTTGGCTCGACAAGCGCATCCAGGCCAAGGCGCCATTCACCATCGCCATGCTCGAGGCGCAGCTCACCCAATGGCTCGAGACGATTGATGTGCCGCCGCGCAACGACGCACTCGATGACCTCGACGTTCGCCAAGAGCTCCGCGTCTTCTTTACGCAGCTGCTCGAAGATCTCAAGCGTCAGTACACGCTGCACGTGCGCCACGTTTTGCACCAGTTCCACGTTGATGCCAAGGCGGCGCTCGAGCGCGAGATCCACCGGTCGCTCGGCGACAAGACGCTGCCGATGGAGGACGCGCAGCTCGTGTCCGTAATCCACAAGGCCAAGGACCGCGTCGTGACGGAAGCTGCGGAAGCTATGCAAGGCTGGAGCTTTCCGCAAGAGGACATGGAGCATTTTGGTGCGCTCATGATGGAGAACATGGAGCAGGTAGATGGTCCGCGTTCGAACAATGGTGACTCATGGCCCATCCCTAGTTTCTCGGGCAATTTGGCGCGCAGAACCGCATTGTGACCCAAGACACGGCCAGCCGCCATGCCGCGAGCGTGTACCAAGAGACAAAAGACGAACTCATTTCGCTCGTCCACGACGGGCTTGTCAAGCAAATGCCGCTGAGCGACTCGAGCATCGACACGTACTTCAAGGAAGCCGTGACGCAGGCTGCCGAGTACATGCTGACGCAGGCGCCGACGTCGGACAAGTCGGCGCTGGACTGGGAAACCAAGTTTCATGTTGATTTGACCACTGTGAAGGCCCAGCTCCGCACCATCAACCAGTAGTCTCGTGTTTGAAATGTGATCCCGTACGACAAACTGTGGTGTAGGAAGGAAGTCGAGAAAAAGGAGTGGATGGAAGCCGCCGAGGCCGAGCGCATTCGTCTCCAGGAGCTCGAAAACCAAGTCCAGCACACGGAAGCCCTTGCCCAAGGTACACACTGTTGACGCCATGATGTGCCACACAGGAGAATTGTGATAACTTAGAGCGGGAGAAGCAGATCAAGTCGATCTTGATCGAGAAGGAACAGACGTCGGCGCACTTGACGGAAGAACTCTCGTTGCAGACGACCAAGACACAGGCGCTGGAGCAGCAGCTCGAGGCGCTTCGAGTCACAGCCGAGGAGATGGCAAAAGAAAAGGCGCGTTTGGCTGAGCAAGCCACGAGCATTGCCGCCAAAGAACGTGCTGACAAGGAGAAAGCCGTCGCCGAGCAGTCGCGTCGCCAAGCCGCGCTGCAGAAGGAGCTCGACGCGATGCAAGCGCAGTTAGCGCAGCAACAAGCGATTCTCCAGCAAAAGGAAGAGGAGGCGCGCCTCGCAGCGGCCGCCAAAGCCAAGGCCGAGGCCCTCGAGCGCGAAAAGGAGAAAGCGTACGCGCTCGCCGAGACGGAGCGCGCGCTGCGTGAAAAGATGTTGGCCGAGGCCAAGTCGAGCCAAGCGTCCGCGGCCGGTACGCACTTTCTTGAAGCAAAGTGTTTATCCTGTGACGTAGCGCTCCAAAACAAAATGTCATCGGCGCTCGAAAAGAAAATGCGCGAGTCGGAGCAGCTCCAGACGACGCTGGCACTGGAGAAGGCCAAGGCCGATCGCCTCGAAGCCGAGCTCAAGCGCGTGCGCGCCGAGGCTGTGAGCCACGAGCGCGAGAAGGAAAAGTTTCGCCAGCAAGCGCTCAACATGGAGGTCTCGACCTCGAAGCTGCGCGAGCACGCCCAGGAAGAGTCACGCCGCCGTGCCGAAGCGGAAGCTGCTGCTGCCCAAGCAGCCAAGGCAGCCGCGGCTGCGGCTAAAGCCGCGATGGAGGCAGCGGCTGCAAGTCCGGCGCGGGCGGGCAAGCGCAAAAGCGACGGCGACGAATCGGGGCGCAAGGCCAAGACGCTCAAGGTCAAGGCGCCGCTGCCCAAGATGAGCCTCGCCGAAGCCAAGCGACTGGCCAAGGAAGACATGGACAAGCGCATTGCCAGTCGTGCGTCGGCGCTGGAGAAGGGCAAGAAGGCCAAGGCCAAGCCATAAGATCTGAGACACGACACTATTCCATTTGGTCTTACGACGCGGGATCCAATCCGAGAGCGAAAAGCTCGCAGAGGATTGTCGAGCGGAGGTGCTTGTAGTGCACGAGTGCCCACGGCGTCAAATGCGTCGTCCGCAGCTGCTGCCATGACGCATCCGCACACCGCATGAGCGCATGCCGGAGCTCTGCCTGCTGCGTGTAGGACGCCATGGCCCAGAGATCAAGGAGGAGCTGCACGTAGCTATGCTGCACCATAAAGGTCGTCCCGTCGTCGGGTCCCGGGGTCTGCCAAAGCCCGATGTGGACTTCGACATAGGCGCGGTGCAGAGCGGACGGGGCGCGGAGACTCGGCAGCAGCAATAGTGACTTGGCCACCGAGAGCCGAAGGGTCGTCGCGTCGATCGAAGCGACTCCGTCGCCAAAGACGATGGGGCTGCCGCGCAAGAGCGGCGACAGTAGCGGCAGGACGTCGGGCAGTGACGTGGCATTGAGATCGGCGAGCAGCTCGGTTGCGATGGCCGCGACTGCGTTGGACGTGGCATTCTCGTGCACTGCAAACCTACCACGCTCCGTCCATTCGATCAAATGCTACTGCTATCGTCGTACCGGTTGCTCCAGAAGGCGCCAGGTACCTCGAGCGCCGTCGCGACCACCGCCAGCGCGAGAAGAACCCGCAGCATGATACGAGGAATTCTTTGATTCTCGAAGCTGCCGAAACGTTGGAGCTTATTCTTCCTCGCACGGTTGCTATCAGCAGCGGAGATTGATACGACCATCATGGGTCTCCGTGCTTGACGTCATGCTTGGCAAACGGCGAGGCGATTGGGCTCACAGCGCCTTGGCATCATCCTGCGCCTGCAATGCTCTGGAGCATACTAATGCTTGCCGCATGGATCGAGGATGGCCTAGTCGTTGCATTGTCTACTTCATTCCTACTGCTTCCCATGGCGTCGACCTCGGTGCTCTCGCCAACCTGCCATCGCGATCTAACAAGATCCCGCACGCAACTTAAGTGAGCGGTCCGCCGGATTTGTGCGGTGGTGCGAAGTCTCTTATCCGGACAAGACGCCATTTCCGAATTTCCGCTTGACGATGAGTGAGTTCCGTAACACGACGGGCGCCGAGCCGACGGCCTTTGCGACCGCCAGCGCCGACGTCGGTGGCTTCAGCTTCGAGAACGTCCGCCGCAACGAGTTCTTGGCGGCTGTCGGCGCGACGTCGCAGGCAAAGTTCCGGGTGCAGAAGACGGGCACGACGATCGTCGGCGTCGTGTACAAGGACGGCGTCGTGCTCGGCGCCGATACGCGCTCGACGGGCGGCAGCATCGTCATGGACAAGAACTGCGAGAAGATCCACTACATTGCGCCCAACATCTGGTGCTGCGGCGCCGGCACGGCCGCCGATACCGAGAACGTGACGCAGATGATTTCGTCGCAGTTGGAGCTCCACCGCCTCAACACGGACACGTCGTCGCGTGTCGCGACCGCCATGACGCTCCTCAAGCAGAAGCTCTTCCAGTACCAGGGCCACCTCTCGGCGGCGCTTGTGCTTGGCGGCGTGGATGTCAACGGCCCGTCGCTTTACACGATCTACCCGCATGGTAGCACGGATCGCTTGCCGTTTGTGACGATGGGCTCGGGCAGCTTGGCTGCTATGAGCATCTTTGAGGCTGGCTACAAGGACGATATGACGGAGGCCGAGGCCAAGAAGCTCGTCCAGGACGCGATCCTTGCCGGTGTTTTCAACGATCTCGGCTCGGGCAGCAACGTCGATGTGCTCACGATCAAGAAGGTCAACAACGAAGTCGTTGTCGAGAAGGAGTTCAACTGCATCACACCCAACAACGTCGCGGAGCTCCGCAGCCGGGTCAACCGCAACGTCGTGACGTCGATTCCGCGTGGCGCGACCCGTACGTCCTCCATGATCTCGCATGTATGGCCGACTCATGCGTCGCATAGGTGTCATTCGCCAGCACTACGAGCCCATGGTGGTCGTCGAAGACGGTACGCCCATGGACCTTTAAGCGCATCATTGGTTATCCGCGAAATGAACGCGACCGTATCATGCATGCATGCGCTTCATCTCACTTCCCATGAAACAACGCACGATTAGTAGTACTAGTAGTAGAATGGCTACGGCAGGATCTGCGCGGTCAGCTGCAAGCGCTCGACGTCCCGCTCGGGAATGGCAAAGACAGGGTGGATGCGCTGGAAGCCGCCAAAGTCTTCCTTGCCGTCGAAATACCCGAGCATGCTCAGGCCGCAAATGCCAAAGAATGTGTGGTAAATGTCGGCCACGTTGCCGGGACGGTCGGCGATCCCGCCGTCCTCCTTGTCCTGGCAGTTCAAGATGAACTGGATGAGCTTCTCGCGGTTGATCCAGTGGAGCTTCCCGAGCAAAACGAGCGACGAGATGTTCCACCAGCTGTAGCACACGTCGGCCTGCTTCTCGGGGCGGCCGTTGAGACCGCCCGAGTCGCACTGTCGCTCGCAGAGCCACCAGCCGAGGCCATTCGCGTCAACGTACTACGCATACAATTCTGTGAGCATCAGCCCTCGAGATGGATATGCAACCTGGTGGAGCTGCTGGCCCATCGCAAGCGCGCCGACGGCCGTAAAGATGTGCCCGCCATGCGACTCGCAGCCAGGAATGTTGCCAAAGCCGCCGTCAAAGTTCTTGCACGTGGCGAGGTACGCCATGGCGCGGTCGTTGTCGATCTTGTGCTCTCGCTTGAGGATCTTGAGCACGCTCAGCGCGCAGTACGTAAACTTGGTGTCAACCTCGCCGTGCTCGTCGCCCACGAACGAGCCGTCGGGCTGCTGGAGCGACGCGACAAAGTCGGCCGTCTCGTCCACGAGCACGACGCTTTCTCGTCCGAGCATCGCGAGCGCCAAGACGGCGTGGCACGTGTAGAGCAGATGGCGATCGTGGCCGAGGTTGCCGCCAAAGCCGCCGTTCGGGTGCTGGCACGCAATGAGCCAGTCGATGAGCGGCGCCGGCGTCGCCGCCTCCTTGCCCAGCGCGGCGAGGCAGCCGACCGCCCAGTAGAAGCCGGAGACGCGCATGTGCTCGCTCATGCAGCTCTCGAGGCTCTCCTTCTGCTTGGAGAGGTTCGCCACGTACTTGAGGTGGGCGCCCAGGAAGAACGCGTCGTGCTGCTCGGTCGCCATGCTGACGCAAGATTTCTGGGGCTGCCCGAGGGACCGGCGACCAACGAGCACGTGATTCGTGGAAATATTGGAAAATAGACCACTCCGAGGCCGAGAAAAACGTATTTACCGCCTTTATAGCCAATCCAACGCCAGTATGAGGGCCGCATGGAAACGACACTGCACAACTTTGCGCATGGTCTATTTATCGAGTTGAAGATGCGATTTGTGAATTTTGACAAGTACAACATGAATGAATAATGACTTTCGAGCGAAATTTACTCAATCGGCGGTTGCTTTTGCACCTTCCAGCGCTGCGACTCGTCCGACATTCTCTACTTTCTCTGCGCGAGACGACACAAGCGCTCAAAGCCACCGTTGAGGTCCTGAGGCAGCAGCTTGAGAGCGCTGCACCTATCTCTGGATGCGCCACAAAGTTGGCCACCAGGTTTGTCGACGTCGGTTGAAACCTCGCTCCAAGCTGTCGACTTCATTCCCACCACCGCACCCTTGCGTTGTAAAGCCAAGAGGGAATCGAGGTTGCAACCGACGTCGACAAACCTGGTGGCCAACTTTGTGGCGCATCCAACCGCTCGGCGGCTAACCCAAGGTGGCATGGTACATCTACAATGACGACTCCCCTACAACTATTATTCTTATAGATCGACAGCACTACGCACAGTACTAGTGTTGCATTGACAGTGGGTCACGTGTGTCGTTGCTCAGCTGCAAACGCTGCCGCCAGGAAGTAGAGGAGTGCACTGTCGGCGCAACCAAGCGTGAGGTTTTCTCGTCGCGATGAAAAGCAGGTACAAGGATGTAGTCGCATAGGTAGTTATATAGGTTGATGAGAAAATGCAGTCGGTTCATCCGATGCGGAATTACTGCCATCAGTCGCGCACGAGTCCCTTGCGCTGGTGAGCTCGTCCGGAGCTTGGCGCCAAGTCGAGAATGACCCGGCGGCGTCTGATTGGTTACTGCAAGCGCTGTCAAATTCAGATAGATTAAAATCACGCCACTCAAGACGAACTACGTCTGTGCTGTGCGTGTATTTGGGCAGATTTTAGTCGATCTGTCTAGCTGACAAGCTATCCATAGATTCAATACGCGTGTTTGGGAAACACTACGCTCGCTCGAGTAGTTGCTGCGCCATGAAGGCGCGTACCAATACAAAATGGCGTGATTCTAGTGGCACCGAAAAATGACGGTGCTTGCAGTGGAGAAGGCAGTATATAATGCGCACATTTAATTACAGCTTGTTATTTGTATGAAAAGGCACGAATAGCTTTTTAAAAGGACCGGTCGGTTTGGCAACGGCTTGGTATTCTTCATCCAGCAGCATGGCGGCGCAGGCAGAGATCAAGGCCGAGGACTTCATCAAGGCCGGCGAGAAGGCGCTGAACCGCTTCTCCATCTTCTCGAGCAGCTCCAAGTACGAGGATGCGTCCGAGTGCTTTGAGAAGGCGGCGAACCAGTTCAAGATTGCCAAGAAGTGTAAGGCGACTGCTGCCATGAGGAAGCATGGCGCATGACGCTGCGTAGGGCAAGAGTCGGGCGAGTGCTTTGCGCGCTGCGCCGACTGCCAAATGCGCTTGAAGGAGTCGTCGCGGGCCGCGCAGTTTTACCAGCAAGCGGCCGAGGCCACGTCCAAGGCCAACCCGCTCGGTGCGGTCCATCGTCTCGCCATGGTCTCTTGGCTCATGACCGCGTCGTGTAGATGCAATTACGTACTACAAGACAGCCATTAGTATGCAGTGCGAGGCCGGCCGCTTCTCGAACGCGGCCAAGCTCCAGAAGCAGATTGCCGAGATTTACGAGCACGGCGACCATATGCAGGACGCGCTCGAAGCGTACGGCCAGGCGGCCGAGTACTTTGTCGGCGAGAACCAAAACTCGTCGGCGCAACCAATGTTCCTCAAGGTCGCGCAGTTTTCGGCGCAGCTCGAAAAGTACCCCGAGGCCATGGAGATCAACGAAAAGGTCGCGCGGAGTGCGATGGAGAACAACCTCCTCAAGTACAACGCCAAATCGCACCTCATGAACGCAGCGATTTGCGCGCTCGCGACCAAGGACATGGTGCTCGTCAAGCAAAAGCTCGACGAGTACAACGACATTGACTACTCGTTTGGCGACTCGCGCGAAGGCAAGTTTGTCGCGGTACGTCATCTTCTTCCTCTGTGCATGCTCATCGCGCTCCAGGCCATGGCGACCGCGTACGAGACCTTCAACACGGACGGCTTCTCGGACGCCGTGTACGAGTTTGACACGATCACGAAGCTCGACCCGTGGAAGGTGACGATCCTGCTGCGCGTCAAGGAGGCGATCGCGGGTGACATGCACGACGACCTCACCTAAGCGCGTCAACGCTGTTCCTGCATCTTCCTAGCGTCTTTGTCCTGTGCATGCGTCATGCATACAACGCAGCCCAATGCATATGTCGACGTCGTAGCCCTGAGAACCCACAGAACGCAAGGAAGATGAGGAGCAAGGACACGTAGTCGATTAGTCGCCGTCGTCGTCGCCAATGAGGCTGAGCTTTTCGGAAAAGGTCACGGACGGCGACGTGAGCGGGCCTTGGGTCGAAAAGTAGTAGCGCTGGTAGGCGGGAATGGCCTTGTCCGCGTCCGTGCCCGTGAGGAGAACGCCGGGGAAGCACTCCTTGCGCACCAAGGCCGCGCGCTCCTCCTCCATGAGCTTTTGGTTGAGGACAAACCACTCGGGGAGGTGGGGCGGCAGCGTCACGAGGTCGACGTCAAAGAACTCGATGAACTGCTCGTTCTCAAACTTGGTCTTGGTCGTGCCCGCGAGGTTCCGGTACTTGTCGATCGTCGAGGTCAAGCTCCAGTTCTGGAGCCGGCGCAGGCAGCCAACGATCGATCTAGTGCATGCATGCATCTACCTCGTCCTTGAGAATTGAAGAGTGTACCCCGAGATGTGGATGCCCGTCTTGCACATGATGAGGACCGGGTACTTGCGCTGGTCCAAGATGATCTCGATCGCTTCCTTCGCCATGCCCTCCGAGAGAGTACGGACGTTGCGGTACTTGGCGCCGAGGTGGCAGACCGTAATGTCCTTGTCCTTGAAGAAGTCCGAGAGCTCGCGCCCGAGGTCGTCGCTCGAGAGGTACACGACCGTGTTGAGCCCGAGGCTCGAGATGAACGAGAAGGACGTTGCGTCAAACTTGTTGCTGCGGAAGACCGCGCTCTCGACGACGCCAAAGTACAGCGGCGGGTTCACGCTCGGGAGGCTCGCCAGTGGCATCGGCGTCGGCGGCGGCCCCGACGACGACGACGGGATCGTGATGCTCAAGCCCGCGGCTGCCGACGACGACGGTACTACTAGTCCATGCAAGAGGCTCCATGAGGCGCGCTTCCCCGAGCATGGGACCACCTACATGGGCCATCGGCGTCCACGTCCTTCCCGCTCGCCATCATCCTCCAGTCGGGATCCACGTGCTATTTAAATACTTTTCACGGACATCTTATTTTATTACGCCCGACGTCTGCTCCGAGATCGCAAGTCGCTGGCATGGCAAGGTCGGTCGGGATAAGCGCTGAGCGGACTGCCGAGGCCGCTCGATGCTCCACTTGCAGCACTGCTGCGGCGACGAGGTAGAGGTGCTGCAGCCAGGTACGAGGTGCTGCTGCGGCGTATGGGACTGGTGCTTGCGGCGGCGAACCAAGCCACGACGGCGAAGGCGCCCGAAGACACCATTTTGTGATGGACAAGTTGTCTTCAGGACGACGCTTTGACGCTAAATCGTCGATCACTCCAGTGACGAGTATCTAACGAGTGCTCTCGTTGGCTTGCCATCCTGCGTCGGTAGCAGGCGGGCGTGTGCAGTTGGATACGGCGGGCAGACCTAGATGAGGAGGCAGTCGAGTGGGTTAAAGCAGTACGTTGTATTGTTTTAACGCCAAGTTTTGTTATCGCCCAACAGTCAAAACGCGAGGCAGGCAGCGCCCAGGACCAGGGAGATGGCCTTGGGCACCACAGCTCGTAAGAGTCGTAAATTAGTCGCCAATTTACTTCTTGCCCTTGTCGGCGAGGAGACCGACGGTCGTGCGGCCGCGGCGGCCCGTGGTACACGTGTGCTGGCCACGGACGCGGAGGCCCCACCAGTGGCGGAGACCACGATGGATGCGGACCTTCTTGAGGCGCTCGAGGTCGTCACGCAACTTGGTGTGCAAGACGTTGGCCACCAACTGCGACGACTTGCCCGTCTTGAAGTCCTTCTTCCGGTTGAGGAACCACGCGGGGATCTTGAACTGCATCGGGTTCTGGATGATGGCCACGAGGCGTTCGATCTCATCGTTCGTGAGCTCGCCGGCGCGCTTGTGGATGTCCACTTCGGCCTTCTTGCAGATCATGATCGCGAAGCGGCGACCGATACCCTGCACCGACGTCAAGGCGACCCACGACTTGCGGCGACCGTCAACGTTCGTGTTGAGGATACGAAGGATATGTTGGAAATCAGGACCGATCACGAGCGACTAAGACAGCAGCATCATGAGCTCTCTCTCTGCGCGCTTCCTGGAGCCAGCATTCTCAGGACACGCAACTTACCATAGCTGTTTGGCTTTTGCAGTTTTGGGCTTTGGCGACAATGCTATCCCGTAGAAATCGATGTCCCGTGAAATGACTGGTTCCAACACTATACGACCCACCACCAATACCTCTCGCCCAATCAGGCGCGCGCATTTTCTTTTTGGCCAATCCCAACGCGCGAGATTGGGCTCCTCGATACAAGAACTTCATACGCGCTACTGGCACAGCCGCAATCTTGGCGCGGGCGGCAGGCGGACTGCGACGCAGTGACGCTGACGACCACCTTGCGGCAGGAGATGCGCCGCGTTGCCATACGCAGCACCGGCGCATGGACCGTGCGAAGGGCTCACCGCGGCCTCGCAGCGCGAGAGGCAGAACAGCGAACGCTACACGCGCAACAAGGGCGAGGATGAGTGCACGGACCGCCGTGGCTGCAGGAGGTGGATACGCTAGCATTGTCTAGCGGTACACGAGCAGGGATAGCTTTGTGGCAGGGGCGGACTGGGCTATCGCGACGGAGGACCTAGGTAGTGTGACGTCCTTGTGGTCTGTAGGAGTGTGCCACTGTGTTCCGGCGCCACCACCGATTGATTGCGCACATGACGCCGACTGCTCGCGTCGGCGATAACTCTGTAGCGCATGCTGATTGCAATGGCTTTGATTGAGCTCTTGGGCGGACGCACACGCTGCTTTAACTGGCGCACGAGAACGAAGGTTGTAGTATGTTTACGGTCCCTCTTCCTCCTGTTTGGCCGCGAGCAAGTCGGTAATCTCATCGTCTACGATACCGTCGTCGTCGTTGTCGACGTCGGCGGTCATGGAGAGTTCGCGGTGGTGGCTTGCGGCCGCCGCGAGCGCCATGGCCTCGATCTCTTCCTGCGGGTCATGCTCGGGCAGCAAAAACAAAAACGTGAGCGGCACGAGCTTGAGCACACTCCGCAGTAAGATCGCAAACCAGAGGTTGTCGTACGAGTCGCGGCTAATGCCGAGGAGCGTGCAGAGCGTCGCGCCCCAGTAGCCGCTGACCGCGCCCGAGAGGTTGGCGACCGCCATCAGCAGCGCGAAAAACGTGCCTTCGATTCCGCGCGGACAGAGCTTGGAGCAGAGGACGAGGAGGGGCATCATTTTGAGGCGGCTAATGATGTCTGACAGCATCGCGTCACCAATGACGAACCATTTGTCGGGAATGCCCAACGTGAGATTCGTGCGCGTCACGAGCACAATCTCCACGAGGCTAATGACACCGAGGCCGATCTGCGCGGTCGCAAAGCTGCGGCGAAACGGAAGGTCTTTGCACCAAGTATTGTAGACAACCGTGCCCAGCATGAGGAAGACGTACCTATCGAAGAGATAAGTGGTATCCACGATAGAGAATATAGAGGATCGATACCCCAACGCTTGGACGTTGCCCATAAAGTCGGGCGAAAAGTGCAGTACTTCGGTCACATAGTAAAACTGGATTTGGCTAAACGACGGCGCGATGGCGCCCGAGGCAAACATATAGAGAGCCGCCTTCCAGATGACGGGAACGCGCATGGCTTGGCGCAAGAGCCCGACTTGGGTCGACGCGAGACGCAGGCAGCTCGGTCCATGGCGCTGCGCTTGGATCTTGGTCTCCTTCATGAGCAGCGAGAGCACCAAGATCGTCGCGGGCCCGAGCATCGACACAAGGAACACGCGGGAGGGGCCAAAGCTGGTCGTGACGGGGCCTGCGAGAAGCGACCCGACAATGCCACCGAGCGACATCATGCACCACGTGATCGACTGGAGGTCGTTGGCGCCTATGGGATACAAGCCATTGAGTTGGAATCGTTTGGATCGTTGGGGTTGAGCGGTATACCATTCTTGGGGTCGAGACGCGACATTTCGACGACGAGGGCGTCGATGATGACGTCGCTCACCGCGGTGCCGAGGCTGGCGAGCAAGATGAGGAGCGTGATCTGCGCAAGCGCCGTCGCCGGCGTTGTCAGATGCAGCCAAAAGTAGGCGCAGAGGCCGAGAAGGCTAATGAGCACAAGGTACGACTTGCGCCGGTAGCCGCACAGCGGCAGCGAGTCGGAGAGGATGCCGTAGAGCGGCTTGATGGCCCACGGAAAGCCCGCGGTCGTCATGATGGCCTGCGATGCCGCCGGCTGCAGCTTCAGCACGTCCTTCATCAAGTACGCGATCGCGAGCATGCTAAAACTGCCAAAGCCCTGCACAAAGTAGACCATGCCGACCAGCGTCAGAAACGAGAGCCCGAACGTGTTGACAACCTTGGCCTGCCATGTGAGAAAGCCCGCCAGCACCGTCGGTGGCGTAGCATCGTCCGTCGTGGTCTCGCCATCGTCTTCGGACGGCGACGTCGTCCGCCGACGCGCGCAGGCGGCTGGCACAGCGTCCAGCGGGTCGTGCTGCACGTCCATGGCACGAATTCGCGTCAGCGCTGGCACGGTATCCGGATACGCCGGTTCGCGGACGGCCGTGACGTGGCGGGCGCGACCACGATTTCTGGCATACGACCGCTTGACTTGTGTATTGCAGCGACTCGTTTTGGCTCGTCGACTTGGTGTGCCGACGTACTAGCAACCATATGCGTTGCTGGACGAGTCGCGGAGCATGCAGGCTAAAGACCTTGATTACACACATACTATATAGCGCACGGCATCGCACTTGGTCGACGTGCTCTTCGACTACGTGGGAGGAGCTGTCACTCTTCGTTGTCGTCCGTCTACGGCGCGTCACGCAGCTCGTACGTCACGTCGCGTTCGATGGCCACAAAACCAATCGCCTTGTACGCAGCATTCGACGCCGGGTTCTTCGAGTCGGCGTAGAGCGTTACGATGGCGTGCGGCGTCGGACGCGCCTCGAGCAGCGTCGCACTCATGGCCGCCGTGAGCGCCTTTCCGAATCCTGTGCCGCGCGCCTTCGGAGCCGTGAAGATCGGGCCCAGCATGTACACGGTCGTCTCGTCAGTCGTCACGGGGGGCGCGACCCCCCCAAAGCCAACCACCGACCCGTCGACGACCCAGAGGTAGAGTGCTTGGCGCGTGATGCCGCGCGAAATGAACGCCAACGCTTTGTCTTCGGGCTCATCCACGCCAAAGCATTCGCGCACAAATGTGACGTACCACGCGGTGAGCAGCGCAGTGTGCTCGGCGGTCGCCAGCGCCAAGACACCGAGGGTCTCCATCGGGGGCTGGAGCTCGCCAAGTCGGTAGAGCACATCGTCTTGGGTGCAGTGGCCACGGCCGAGTGCAAAGCCCTGGACGCTCTCAGGTGTACCAGATACTGAATCAAAGTCGGGTAGATCGTGCAGCGTTAGTAGGTGCTGAGCCAAATCCCGAGCAGCGCTAGCATCCATGTGGGGGCTCAAGCGCACGCCACGGGACGCCGACACGATAGCGTACGAAGCAATGGGCGACGTCTCCGATGCCGAGAGCACAAACCACGCGGCTGACGGATCGAGAAGCGAGAGGCACCCGATGCGGTTGCTTGCCTCGAGCGCTGTCAAGCGAAGAGGGCATGTGGCGTCCAAGAAACTGCTTGCGGAGAAGAGGCGCTGGATGTGCATGGCAGACACACTTTGATAATGAGCAGACGCATGCATGCATGTCAGAGGACCAACGCTCATCTTTCGGAGCTGTGGGAGAGGGTGCTGTGGGAACAGTCACGAATGCTACGTTATTGAAGGCGGCTGGACCCAAAGACATGTGGTCCACAAACCACGTGCAGCAAATTCCCGCGGTGACACCACATGTACCACTGCGAT